ACTGCTGTCACGTAATTGCAGTTATAAATTGTAGTTCATACAATAACTTTATATCCGAGAATCGTCTACTTTCGTGTCGTGCTTGTTTCCGCGATAGGAAGTTTCCCGTACTGACGTCAGACGTACGTAGCTCAGACGTCATCGGAACCAACTCCAAAGAGTTTCGATCTGGGAAGATACCACGTATGACGTGAATGGTGAGGTAGGGAGTGTCATTAACATACTTGTAGACGGACTATTGAAATGTATGTTGTTCAGGAGATAGACTGATCATCACGCATCTTGTGGGCTTGCTGTGTTTCCATTAAATGTCTTTGATCTAAGGAGTCTTATTCAGGTTTTAAGGATAGTTTATGGGCATTTCGAAATTTGTCTCCATATTAGTATTTCTGGTTACAGATACCCATTGTGTCAGATCTATAACTACATCAATTATTTGTTTGTAATCATCGCCTTGAAATCAGCAAAAATACTTCTCTGTCGCAATGATTTTATAGTTCCAACTTGGCGACGATGTAATAGAAGATAAAAAAATAAAGCTATTCCTGTAACAGGCCTTGAAGGCCCATAGCGTTGTGAGACATCGAGGCTCCCACATTTTCTCTATACCAATGATTCTCAACTTTTTTCAGACCGCTGCCTGGTAAATTCTTTTTTCTGTAAGACGAGGGCCCGGTACCGTGCCGCGACCCAGCGGTTGGGAAACATTGCTCTAGTCTGTCGGCTCGCATATAGCGGAAAGGTTGTTAGCCTTACACGCCGGCCGCCCTTTACCCTACAGGAAAATTCCTGCTACTCATTTCCGTTATAGGTTGAGTCGACCCCAGGACCAAAGTGCGGCTGGAAGGATTAGGTAAATTGAAAGTAGCGCAGTTGGTTGGGGCACTATGGTGCAAGCCGGAAGGTCGCGGGTTCGAGTCCCAATGAGGTGATAGAAGATATGTAGACGTAATAATCTGTAAACATTATTTGCCAGCCACAAGGGCGAGATATTGTGTAATACAATTGTACTTACGATCCATAATTCGCAGGGGTCGCATGTTCTTACTCTGTCGCGTTCGCACCCTTGCGGGGCACATGTTAAGTTCTGTGAGTCCATCTACTCGGCCCGCGTGGAATTCGGTAAGTTTTATGTTTAAGAACTCTACGAGACACTGGATAGCCATTTGGGTTTTCATGAAGCTCGCGTATGTTTAACGACGACTTGACGTGAAGATCTGCATGTGCTTCTATAGGTATCTCACTAAATGCTTATCGAAGACAGTGAAACCAGTTTTTCATCCAGTGCGTTTTTCATAAGTTCTACAGTTTTAGAGGTAATTAAAAGCACACTTTCGAACTTCCGTATTAAATACCCACATGTTTCCTCTAGGACATAGTCGAAGTTGAAACAGTTTTTACGGATTTAGCTCAGCTTGCCGCCTGCTTTTACTGGTTGAATACTTTGCTAACCCTTTGACCAAGAAGATGGAGGCAGTATATCCCTCCGAAACATGCTGTCTCCGAATTATACGGCGTTACAACTCAGAAGATCGTACTTATCAGACATTGTAGAATTTAGATTGTATTCGAATTAGATTTATTTTAATGTAGTGCTGAATTAGAATATGACTTTAAAGCTTATATATATATAATTTTCGTTCGAGTTGCATGGTAACAGTAAACATTGAAGCTTTAATATTGATTATTCATTCAGCAGGCGCATATAGTTTGACTTCTCTCTAATTTGGGTATTATAACCTAACAGTTTAATGTTTGTTTATTATACGGGAAGATTTCGTCGTAGTTTTGGTTATTTCATTTATTGCTTCTACCGAACGCGCCTGTAAGACAAATTAGCCTTATTCCCGCGATATGTTTCAGTTGTTGGAAGTGTATTCAGACCAGCGACATTAACCACGCGGGGCGCATGCGTTGAAATCTTGTCAGACTTCCTCTCTTTGAAATGACGTTCTTGTGTAGACGCTGTCGGTCCCCTCTGGTCATTGGCTGTGGAAGGACAAACAAACAGTTAGGTAAGGTATTGTGACATGAAAGCCAAAGGAGACAGTCGTTGTTAGATATTGGCACAGTAAACACACGATGACATGCGGTAAACACGCCATGATGTGAGGAAGCGAGCTGTTGCTACGCAACGGTCGGTAATCAAGGACTGTGAGGCGGTTTCTTTGCGGTCCGATGCAGGGCTATACGAGTATAACGAGTGCTAGCGAAGTATAACTCGTATTATAATCTGAGACAGTAAAAGATGGTCATGAGTCCATCGGAACTCAGACCCGAGAATGACTGCGCTGGCGAGGACCAGCAGCAATTGGTAACGACAGACCCGTCCTTTCGTCAGAGAGGGCGCTCCACATCAACACTGCAACTGTCTGACAGTCTGACTGGTCTTGTGCGTCAGATAGGGCTTGACACAAAGACAGATTGGCTGACTTACCGTCGGTCGTAACAAAACTTTGGCTTTGACTTGATAACTCGTATCATGGTTAATATACCAACGTCAGAATTTCAGAAAATATGTTCAAACGAGATTGAATCACTGCGGTTGGAATACAGGGACACCATACAACAATATTCTGACCCAGAAGCTTTTACGGAACCTGTACGCGGGGTAAAAAAGTAAAAGTATCCCTGTAACAGGCCGTGGAGGCCCATAGGGTTGTGAGATGTTGAGGTTACCACATTTTCTAAACAATCGGCTCACAGATGGCGGCAAGGTTGTCAGCCCTACGCACCGGCCGCCCTTTACCCCCAAGAATATTCCTGGTACTCATTTCTATTAGAGGATGAGTCGACCCCAGGGCCATAGTGCGGCTGGAAGGATTAGGTCAATTGAAAAAATCCCGTGACCTCATCTGGGCTTGAACTCGCGACCTTCCGGCTTGTAGCATAGTGCCTCAACCAATTACACGGGGTATTCATCGCTATTGCCCGCCTAGCGGGATGTACCCCTGCGCCTGGCCGAGATCAGAGGGAATCTCCACCAGTTACTGAAAGGAATGCAGCTGTGTAGCACCGCGAATGGAGTGTATACAAAGGTGCTACACGATTTGACGACAGTCAAAGGGGAGACAGCCAAGTCCACCATTACTGAACCTTCATCCAACGAGGAATTCCGCGAGCTGAAAAGGCGAAATCGACAGCGTTCAGATGACGCCGACAATAGAACCAGGAAACCAGCAACGTTCACCGCGGGAGTAAACTACCCCCAGTTGCTGTCGGAACTTCTTCGCCCTCCTGTGGTAAACTGAAATTGAGGCTGACCATGGATGTGACGCGGACGAGTCCATTGAGGGTCAGCAACAGCAGACTCCACCCAGCCAGGCAGATCGGCCGCCTGGTATTGTACTAACCTAAGTGGTAAACCTGATACAATCACGAAGGCAGAAGAAAGAGTTACTAAAAGGTAACTTCGAGTTCCGTAGCATCAGAAACGGTGACCATAGTTGTCACGAAATAAATGGCGGATACTTCAACCATCCACTCTCACTTCAAGTGCAATAACCTCCCATACTTCATCTTCCATCCCAATTCCCAGAGTCTTATAAAGGATGTAGTGTGACAGCTTCCATTCACCGCCCCTGCAGAGGGCATCTCAGGTGGATTGGTGGACCTTGGCTTTGATGTTATTAGTGCCAAACAAATGTCAGGTACCTGCCAATCACCTGTAGAGGGATGATCCACAGTACATCTTCGCCTCTTCTTCATAATCTCATCTAGGACGCCAGAGTCCCAGGATTTATCGACACTGACAAGCCTTTGTGATATTGCAAGCAGGGTACAATACTGGTCTTACTCACTGCTAGAAGTTTGGCCATATCTGTGCTAACTGCAGGGAACCTTCCCGTTTTATGTGGTATGGTGGCAATCACCTGCACAAGAAGTCCCCGTAATAGGGCAATACAGCATCAGTGCCGATGTGCTGCAACTGCAAGTTAGTGGATGGAGAGGAACCTCATCATTACAATTATCGAGGTTGCAGCCACGCCAGGGACAAGATGCGAAAGAGAAAATAGCAGAGAGTGCCCAAGACTACATCAGGAAGGGTGTTTTCTTCCAACCACAGCAACCCTGGATTGTCCTCATTGGCAACGCTGAGCAGCAGTGCACCACATTCTTGTGAATCTTCACTAGATGTAAAGTTCTACCTAGAGGCAAAGGACCTTCAAACATATTTTTGTAAATTTACTTCACATTGGGCCAGTGACTAGTATGAATGAATTGAACGCATACTTCTGTCCAAAGTAATGAAAAGACATTGAGGAGCATCAGAAGTGATTATTAACCTGGGGGGGGGGGCTCGAATTTCCCCTTTAGCACTCAGGCGTCTGCTGGGCCCACTGTGCTCCCAAGTGTTGCTTGTTTAAGAGACTTGGCCATAACTAGAGACAAAACTTTCCAGACTGAGGCCCACTTAATATTCAGTGGCTTTATTCCTGCATAGCCACAGCAGCATCAGAGAGTCCCAACTTTTCTATGAAATATATTTGAAATGAACAGAGCCACTTCATCCATCGTTGTCTGACCAATGACATTTCAGAAATTACTTTGAATATTGGCATTACTGAATTGTTTGTTGCTAATCCCAGCATAATGTACACTGTTTGTAAATAAACAGTGTCACGTGATATCTAATATCATCAGAATCTGCAGTGAGTCAGTGTTCAGAGTAATTAAATACCATGTCCTAAGTCTTTCATCATCCTTGTTACCATTGTAGGAGTTCTTATTTGGATGATAATGATTTTTGAAATGTGAGGGTCAGATGTAATTTCTATATTATTCTATCAATATTATCCCATCCTTGTTCCCATATTCACGTATAATTGTTGTGTCACCACCTTGATAGTATAAACTTATAGTATGCTCCCTCCAGTGGTGAATGGTTTGGTCAGAATATGAAAGGACTGCTGTAAATTAAATTATTAACTCACATACCTTGAAATAAGATCTATATTTTAATATATTACTTTAGTCTTAATTTTCACTTGTGTTTCCAGGTTGCAATAAAGATTATAGATAAAACGAAACTAGATGAAGAAAATTTAAAAAAAATATTCAGAGAAATTCAAATAATGATGGAACTCCGTCACCCACACATCATAAGACTGTATCAGGTAAGAATCAACTGAATCCAATTATGTATATTTATTTTAGCTTTACTTTTTATGTTTGATTTGATGATATCATAGCAGTGGTTATGAAGATTACATTCTGCTGGGTTATGTCACTGTGTATCAGAGGAACATAACTACAGAAGAGGGTAATAAGAGTAATCACCAATTCTAGAAGTAGAGATTCTTGTAGGGATTTGTTCAAGAGATTAAAGATTCTGCCCCTTTACTCACAGTACATTTTTTCCATTTTGTTATTTGTGGTCAAAAACAAAGATCTATTTTTATCTAATTCTGAGATTCATACAATCAACACAAGACATAGTAATAACCTCCATTATCCCTCATGTAACTTAACTGTCTTTCAAAAGGGAACATATTATTTTGGAATTAAAATTTTTAATAAACTTCCACCTAATATAAAAGAACAAGCTCATGAGATTAAAAAATTTAGGTCTCCTGTTAAAAAATTCCTATTTTTAAAGTCATTTTATTCATTGGATGAATATTTTAACTGTGACAACAATTAAAGTTTTCGGATTTGTTACAGGTGGTAGCTGATAGCGCCTTATTGTTATAGATAATGGTTTTTGTTTCATGTTGTATATTATTAAATTTAACTGGTATGACATTACACAGCTGTGTTGCAGTATGTGATTTACTCATGTTGACTATTTCTATATCCATTGGTGTTAAACTATGTAAGGATTTATGGAATGCTGAATAAATGAATGAATGAACTCCCAGAACATGGAGATGATATGGTTCTTCAAAATGTGGGGATTATGCAAACTGCATAGCTATGCAACCCAGAACATGCTCTTTAATTTTTATGGTGCTACAAATCTTTAGAAGGAAGACTCTGAAAAGTCAGAAACTTGATAGTTAAGTATTGCTGACTGGACATGTAAATTGTTCATAAGGTTATTTCTTTTGCTGGAGGAGAAGGTAATTCTATTTCTGTTATGCCATTTTTTTTTATATCTTGTGTAAACTGCATTGTATCATAACTTTAATTTCTGATTGAATGACAGGTCTAGAAGTGTGAACATTTAATGTCACAATCTACAGTCTTGTGCTTGTTATTTTGTATTTAGGTAATGTAGCATAACAATCAAATGTAATTTAGGTTAGCATGCTGGGATGTTGCATAGACTGTTATAGCATTAAATTCTTTTTGATTTCTTTTATTGCTTGCTACCATAAATGCAGGTCATCTTGTTCATAATCATTATCACCATCATCATCTTTTGTTCTTTATTTTATGTCGTGAAGAACATATTGCTTAAATGCAAATTATCTATATGTTATATTTGTCAGGTACAACTTCAAAGTTTTTCATTGCCATATTTGTAAATGTTGTACATGGTTTCATACTTCTGTCACCATTGTCTCATTGGTTATCAGATTGAAAGCTGATGAAAATTTTGTGCAGTTGCCATGTTTTTTTTTTATATTCTCTGGGTATATCTTTCTTAAAAGAGCTTCTATTTTTGAAGTTTTGTTACCAGACATATTTCAGTACTTTATGCTAAGTGACAATGGTGTTGGTCCCATCCCATAATTCATGCATCCACCATATTGTTATTACTGATTGTGAGAAATATGAAGGCGTGAAGTTGGTGTGGTCTCCAGTGCCATAACGTTCATACCAGATTTTGTGAAAATCAGTCACTTGTAAAATTGAAGCGAGTATGTGCCAATACACAAATATGAAGAGCAATGTGACCGCATGTCTTCCTTTTTCCTTAAGAAAAATGGGGTGATTGCTTAAATGATCAACTTAAATAACTTGAATCTACTAGAACTGCTTTACTATCAGTTGTTAAAGCTGTCATCCTGTATCTTATAACTGTTGATCTTTACTGAGGGTTGTGATGAAGCATCGAGTTCGTGTACCAACCACACGAACATATCATGCAAGCAGTGAATGGGATAACATGATTGCCATAGACCACCAGTATGGTGTTCGAGCCCCATATTTATTCCCTGCTCAATTTCTGAAACAGAAAATAGTGCTGTAGGTGTTACTAGTTACATGTCATAATGTCTGTGTTGTGTGTTTATTCTCATACCTTCATGGCAAATGGAAAATCTCACATTTATAGGTAATATGTTGATATATTTCTTAGTGAGTTTCTTTCTTGTACAAGTAAGAATATCTGGGAAGTTTAAGTTTTTTTTTGCCCCAGCAAATTTTGTTTTTCTGAGGTATTGTAACAAAACACTGTTCAAACCATTTCTTAGAACCTTTGCTATGTGAATACACAGGTGGGCCATCCATTTTCCTTTGAAATGTGTTGGTAGGTATGGTTTTATCTGCTGAGATATAAATGAATGCAAGACCTTTGACTTATTTCAGCACATTTGACTTCTTTGCCATTTATAAATATCACTATTTTTATCAGCACAGAGATTTTAGATATATACAGTCTGTTTGTGAGAAAGAGTATTTTGTCATGCAAATAAACCCCCACTTCTGGCATTCTCTCTAAGAATTTAACTTCATGGCATTTTAGCTGCCATCAGTAAACTTTTGAAATAATCTTAGATTTTGTAGGAAAGTTATTAAGAGTAACACCAGGGGGGAAATTGTACATTATTTATAGTTTTAATGTTTGTTCTGAACATTTTGGCACATGAAAAGTGTCTAAATCAAAGAACTGCTGATTATATTAGCACAAAATTTTTTTTAGTTAACAGAGCAAAGGGAATGGTTTCAGTAAGAATACTTTCTGGGGTATGAGATAATGATGCATAATTCTGCTTATGATAACTATGTTATAGCCAGGAGAAGCATTAATATTGTACCACATAACAAGGACAGATGAGTTTGCAGTCTCCCAGACTGTGATTATTTCACCAAACAATATTAACCAATAGATTTTTTAGTGCAGATGCAATGAGTTTCCTGTGAAGGATGGAACTGAATTTTTGTTTTGTTTTGTTTTGTTTAGACAAATTTCATGCATCAGAGGTTTAACAGCCCTGGACCAAGTGATAATAAGAATGGGGGAGGTTGTTAGATTCCAGTTTCTAAACATGGACATACGTTCCTCTGCTTATTGTCATCCTTAATCATCTGACAGGGCCCCCGAATTTGAACAGCCCTGAATGCTTATTACAGCCCCAGTTCTTATTTGAGGTCATATTAATTTCCTGCTCTGATCTTATCAGAAAGTGAATGTAAACATTCTTTTCTAAATTATAGTTTAATATTCGTTTCTTTTTTGCCTAGGTTATGGAAACTGAAAAGATGATTTATCTAGTAACAGAGTATGCAAGTGGAGGTGAAATTTTTGGTAAGTTCTATTTTTAGAAACTTGGAAATGTATCTGAATTGGAACATCAGAAACCACATTTATTTTCAACTACCAGGCAGTGTTCCATTACCCAGCAGTAGGTATGGGTAATAGTGTAATGTCATTTGTTGTAATAATTTTGTGAGAAATTCAGAACTTGCTACTTATCACATTTTTGGGGTGTTGTGGTGCCCTCTTTTTTTTTTTGTAATAAATACTGTATTTATATGAATACTTCAGTTTTAGGTCTTGTGGGATTTATAAGTAATTCCCTTTTGTTAAAAGCATTTGTTGTTTGCTTCTTATCCACAGTAACCTAGGTTATTAGATTTTGAAATATGTGTTTTTATAAGTACAAGATGCCCAGGTGCTCAAAATCAGCCTTTCAACATACCTTTGTTCTGGATGCTCTGGATCTCTGAGGCCAAAAGTTGTACAAAATGCACTATGTAACCGTTTCATGGTCATGGAATGGGCATTTGTGCCTTTGTTAGCCACACCTGACTGGTCAGAGTACAGTACTTTTTCATGTAGTGTTTTAAAATTTCCTGCTCATCTTATAGGCACTACATAAAAAATGTATATANCTGTACTTAACTACGTATTTCACTAAAAAAATGCAACATTTTAACTCGGTTTTTGGTAGATTTTTACGTGACTAACATAAGGCTACTGTGGAAGTGCCCATTTCGGTTACAACGACATTCGTTTATAACAACATTATTTTTAGGTCCCTTTGATGACGTTATAACCAAGTTCTACTGTATTATATTGCAGCATTTTGTTACACTTTTCACTAGTATCAGTAGTTCCACAGTCTCATGTGCAACACCAATGTTCTATATTGAAACCTATTCACTTGAAAGTTTTACACTACGTGTTTTGACCAATGTAATCATCATCAGGTGTTAAGAACTATGGATGAGGAAACTGCTGTCTTTTGTATCGTTGCTTAGGTTGTAGATATATAGTCCCCTCAGTGTGCATGTGTGCCTGTAACATGTATGAATTCTTCTATGAGGTGCTATCAAAAGTTCCCGGACTAGTGAAAAAAAAAACAAATGCTGGCTTAACTTACTCAATTTCGTTTGCATCTCCTTCAAAATAGTCTCCTTAGGAACGTATACAGAGATGCCATCGTTTTTTCCATGATACAAAAGGCTGTGGAAGTAATTTTCCTTAATGTGTTCAAGTACTGCTTGCGTTTCCCCTTGGGTGTCAGACACTGTTTCAAAACGTCACTTCAGTTTCATTTTCAATTCGGGAAGCAGAGTGAAATCACAGGGGGCTAAGTGTATGTGTCACCATCTGGTGTTTAATTCCTGCATTAGCTTGAATATCGGGTTATAGATGTCAGTGTATGTATCCTTCATGTTTAATTCATCTTTACTCATACGTAGGTAAGTCAATAAGTAACTTACAAATGGATATAGAACTTAAACAAATAAGAGTACTGATTTGAAAAATGCTTCTTTTTCTCAACATAATCTCCCTGTACATTGAGGCACTTGTCCCATCTTTTCACAAGCACCTGGAAACCAGCAGCATAAAATACTTTGGGCTGCTGTCAGAACCAGTTGGTGACTCCCCTATCTACAGCTTCATCATCGGGAAAATGTTCAGCCGAGGGCCGAACAAATGGAAGTCGCTTGGAGCAAGGTCGGGGCTATACAGAGGATGCTCGAGGACTACCCACTTGACAGTTCATAGCGTCTCATTTGTCTTGTTGGCAGTATGGGGATGCGTGTTGTCATGCAGGAGCAACACACCTTTGGTGAGGAGTCCTGGTCACTTCTTTGATTATCCTTACGAAGTTTCCTGGGATGTTACAGTAGGAGTCAGCATTTACAGTTTGTCCTTGAGGCCGGAATGTGGTGAGCAGTATGCCTTCATGATCCCAGTCACCGCCTGGTTCCGACAGCAGCCCAAAGAATTTTCTGCTGCTGGTTTACAGGGGCTAGTGAAACGATGGGACAAGTGCCTCAATGTACAGGGAGATTATGCAGAGAAATAAAAGCATTTTTCAAATCAGCATTCTTACTTGAAGAAAGCCATCTTCTGGGATGTGGTGCCATGTAGAAATTGTATAACCGACGTTTCGGAGGAACGTATTGCCCCCATCTTCAGGGTAGAAGACGAGAAGAAGTCCATGAGCAAACCAGCAGAGCAGGTGCAACAGACTGAATCCAGTCGAATAAACACAGCTGTATGAGGGGGGACCCAAAAATAACCGGAAACGACCTGTTGCGCGCGCATGCTTTGTAGTTACGAGTTGTGCTGCTAGGTGATGTTAGCTGGGGGTCTCCCGCGACTGTTAGTGAGCTGGCGTCAGTCTGAGTTAAGTGGTTTGTCTGTGGTGCTCTGTTGTGTGCGTTCCTGTTTCAACCCTTTGGCGATTAGTGAGATGGCCGACCAGAAGGAACAAAGAGTGTGCGTGAAATTGATGAAGATCGTCGAAAGACCATTGACCAACTTTCTGAGGAAACGAACATCTCATGGAGCACGGTCCAGCGAATTTTAACCGAAGGTTTGCACATGAGACGGGTGTCTGCAAAATTTGTTCCTCGCTTGCTCGGAGATGACCAAAGAGAAAACCGCGTGAATGTTTGCCGCGACTTGAAGAGTGAAGTGCAGTTTTCCCTAACAGAAAGCAAAATTTCACGCACACTCTTTGTTCCTTCTGGTCGGCCATCTCACTAATCGCCAAAGGGTTGAAACAGGAACGCACACAACAGAGCACCACAGACAAACCACTTAACTCAGACTGACGCCAGCTCACTAACAGTCGCGGGAGACCCCCAGCTAACACCACCTAGCAGCACAACTCGTAACTACAAAGCATGCGTGCGCAACAGGTCGTTTCCGGTTATTTTTGGGTCCCCCTTCGTATAAGAGAATGAGAGTAGTAGTGTGGCTACATAGGGAAATGGTAGAGAAGGGGAGGGGAAGGGTCTGGTGGAATAGGCAGCAGGTAGTGGGCCAGAGCTGGTATAGAGTATGTGTTAGGGGGAGAGAGGGGACGGTTAAATGGAGGGCATTAACTCTGTAGCTCGGGGGCTGCGATGGACCTGAGTGCCGTATTTTGTAGGTTACTTGAAGGAACAGATGTGAGGCTTCCATGACTTGCTGAGACAAAACCCCACCTCTCTGTTCATAATGTCAGGATGGTGTTCAATCTTAATGATCGTCAGTTAACACAATTTCTACACGGTGCCACATCCCAAAAGATGGCTTTCTTCATGGTCACCGCCATGAAAACCTCAAATCTTACACAGTACTGTTCCTTGTTTACGTGCTATATCCATTTGTAACCTACTTATTGACTTACCCTTGTATATATTGTGACATATTTGCACTAGGCAAGAAACCCCCCCCCCCTTGGTGATGTAACAGCACTTCTCACAGTGATGTAACAGGGGACACCGCGGTTACTACGTGGCAACAGGCGACCCGTACAGAGACTGTTGCTTTTCAGTCGGTAAACATGACGTCACGCAACAGTGGTAGCTATCACGTAACTGTTTTCAGTGTTGTCAGTGCAGAAGCTACATAACGAGGAGGATTCGTCAGTGTAACCAGAGTTACTAGAGAGTTAGGAACCAGTCAGTTGCAGTCTAACATTCGCCAGAGTGAATGGAAGCAGGGGAAGTAATTGTGATACTGCTGATGGCAGTGGCTATGTAACAGTAAATTGTGTAAATGTAAGAGTGAATGTGCAATAAATTCTCTAGATCCAGAAGGGCGTGAAGTTATTTGTCGCGTAACATACCCAGCATGTGACAATATATTCAGCTGTCAAAATTGTTTCCTCCCCTGTATGCAAATGCCAGGGTGATAATTTGATTGGCCCAGGATTTCTTCCTTAATCTTTTCCAATTCATCATTCGTTAGTCATCCTACCATTTCACACTACATAGTCTGAGCTACTGACATCATTAAACCAAGAAGACATTAGAAAATTTCATGCATTTTTTGTGTAAATGTAAGGTTCTTTGTGGGGAAAGGAGTAATGCAACTAAAGTTGTTTTTGTATATGGGTATTACGTTGCTGAGCTGGTGGTGGTTGTCGGTGGTTTACTGAATTGTCAAATATTCATAGGTCTTTGGTGGGCTGTGTGCATTCTGTTGCTCCCTGTGAATGAAAATAAGAAGCTAACTACTGAACAGTTGATTGCAGCATTAACAATAATTGCTAGTGCATACACCTTGACATCTCACAATCCTATGGGCCTCTACAGCCTGTTAAGAGGGATACCTTTACTTTTTTCTTTTTACTTACAAACTTTTAACTTAATGCACCATGCACAGTGCAGTGAAGGTTAAAAGTGTGCCCAAATGTTCATATAGCTATAGTAGGCATCTGTCACCGGTTGTGTGTGTAATTTATCAGGTTAAGCATCTAAACCATGATGGTACTTGTATGTACCACCTGATGTAGCTTTAGAAAACTCTACCTAAGCTTAACAGATTGGTGTTTGTAATGAAGGTGCAGTGCATTTTCTGTGAAGTATTAATCAGTTTTAACATGATTTTTTATTCTAAGGAATAGAACATATTCACAAAAATTACTTTAAATCTTGAAATAAAAGAATTTTGTATGGAAAACAGAAACTAACAGTATCATTTGAAATTAATACCATATGTATTTGTTTCAGCTAGCTTAAATGAAATAGAAAAAACATGTTATTATACTTTCGTTTTTGTTGCTGTATGCCATTTTGTATTTATGTGAAGGTTATGCTCTTTTGCATTGAGATATGGTGTAGTTTGCTAGATAGGTACCATAGGAACATGCTTCCTTCATCTTCAGGCCAGCAGAGGGTCAAAATGAAACCAGTGGCACTGGTGTAAAATGAATGAAAATCTGTGACAGCTGAAAGGGCAGGAAGATAGGAAGAGAGGTAAAAGGTAAAATATAAAGAAGGCAAAGGAAATGAAGGGACAACATATAAAATGAAAGTAAAGCAACATAATAGAATAAAAGTTATTCAAGAAATATTGGGAAGGGAGTGAGAAGACAACTTTAAATTGAAATTAAGAGAGTTGAAAATAAAAACAAGTAAAACTAAATAAAGGTAATTATAATTAAGAATTAAATAAGCAAAATAGTATGAAATAAAACTGTGAAAATGCACAAGGAATTGTGTTTTGTGTTCTCATCTCTTTTGACTTCCCATTCTTTAATTTGTTTTTTGCTTCTTGCAGGATTCTTATTTTCTTAGATTACTTTATTTTTCTTTTGTGTTTTTTATGTATTATATCTGTTATTTCACCATCATTGTATTTTACTTCTTACATCTCTTTCTGTTTGCATGTTTTGGCGTCTTTTGTGCTCTTAAATTTATTCATTGAGCAAGTATGGTCCTTTCACTCATTTTGCATCACTCCCATTGATTTGTTCCTAGACTCATCCTAACTACATGTGCGTTTCTTGTCAGAGCCATTGGTTTCTATTCAGTTTACACCATTTCCATTAGTTTGCTCTTAGTGTCACCCTCTCTACAACTGCAGCTCATTTCAGATCCACAGGATCAATTTCGTTTTACATGACTCCTATTGCTTTGCTCCTCACCTTACCCAACCTACAACTGTGACATTCTTTAGAGCCACAGTGTTCCATTTATTTTATACCAGTCTCATTGGTATGTTCTAAGCTGCATCTTGTCTACCAGTGCAGTCTCTTCAGTGCCCAGGATTACATTCATTTTATGTCACTCCCTTTGATTTGCTCTTAGCCTCATTCTATCAACATTTGAGGCATTTTTCAGAACAGAAGGGTCTCGTTTATTTTACACTGCTCGTATTTGGTTCATTCAGACTCAGTTCTTGTCTCTTGTCCCCATATCACTAACCACTTCTCCCCTGCTCAGTTTAGTGTTCTACCCTGAAGGTGGAAGCAGCGTGTTCCTCCAGAACATTGGCACATATCTACCAAACTACTTGCTGTAAAATCCCATAAGACAATAATGATTTTAGTCACAAGTGTGACAACTTCAGATCTTACTGTGTATTTTCCCTGTTAACTGCAGAGGCATGATTTTATGTTACAGATCACCTAGTAGCAAATGGACGAATGAGTGAAGTGGAAGCTCGCCGAATGTTCCACCAGATTGTGGCAGCTGTGAACTATTGTCATAAGCGGAATGTGGTACACAGAGATCTCAAGGCTGAAAATCTCCTGCTTGATTTCAAGATGGACATCAAATTGGCAGGTGAATGGAAGAATGGTGTCACGATATTAAGTATTATTTGAAAAGAATTATAATTATTGAAGTATCCCTTGGGTAGTTGTCACGTTATGTGATTCTGCAAGCATATTTTTGAAGATTGCTACCCCTGGTGTAATATATTGAATGATTACCACTTCTAATACAGGAATAGTTGAGCCCAGTTTCTGTGAGATTAATTTTAATATTATCCTTTAAACTGAGAAAATGAACAGAACATTTTAAGAATGAGAATGTGCAATATTATACCAGAATTTTTACAACTTTCAGATTTTTACAGTTTATTCTGCATAACATTTTTTAACAATTTCAGTGATAACTTGGACAGGATTGCTTCTCCTAAATCAGACTTCTTGTGATTTTTGTCAGTCTTTTGGGATTGCAGAGACATTGATCACCATTACTAATTTTTTGTTGTTCCCAGATCACAACCATACTCAGTCTGTATCTTATATAGAGTCACACCAAGTATTCATGTTCATTGAACAGTACTGGACATACACATTCTTGTTACAGACATTGAGATGTAATTTTAAACACATTGTTTATTTCTTTTGGACTAAATATGCCAGTGTAGTAGAAGAAAAAAAGGAATGAAAGTAAAAATTCTAAACTGTGGGGAATACTGCCGATGACTGTAATATCCACAACTGCTCATTTATATCTTGCTGCGCCTATCACCTGATTCCATTTAGTCACATAATTTTGCTGAAAATAATTACTGACAGTATCTTATCAGTAATAAACAGGACATGTATGCTGAACACTGAGTGGCTATCACTCCTTCATATTCAAGTGGTCCTGGGTTCAGATCTTGGCCCAGAGATTGGCTATGCTGACAGAGGTACTTCTTGATTTTCTCAGAACTTAAGGCAAATTCCATGATAATGTCTTGAATTAGCCCATGGCCATTTCCTTCCACAGTTTTACAAACCTTCATCCACTGTTTGTTATCTATTCAGTGCTATGTACTAGGTTACATTCTTGTTAAATAAACTGTAAATAAACAGAGACACATCTGGGTAGTTGTCCATGATCAGTGAAAAATTGTGGCTGGAAAATATAGAATAGTATGTGTGAACTTTGGTTTCCACTGAATTATTTAACTCTTCATAGCTGTCTGACATATTCAGTGATTAAGCTCACTTGCATTGCTGTGCATGCACACAGTATGTGGCATTGCATGACCGATTTTTAGGATCTTTCATATGTTGTGAAACATGAAATCTGAACTTTTTATTCCATATTTCATAATCACAGATTGTGGTCTGGAAAGTTAAATATTCACTAATTTTTCACTAACAAAGTTTCATATTTGTTATTAGGCACTGTCTTTTAGACATTTGAAGCCCAAAATAATTATGGCAATATATCAGAACTATTATCAGTTTTTTCTTCACTGCCATTTCAGAAGTAATTATAATTGCTAGACAGTGTTTGTTAAAGCTGATTCTGTTCTGCTGATCAGTAATGCTTCTTACCACATCCTCATCACAAAAATATTGTATTGGTGAATGGTTAATCAATCATAACATTTCTTCATAGACTGAAATTTTGTAAATCACAATATTATTCATTAATTCAGTTGCAATAACCGAGATTAAAATGTATAAATGTGATTCATTAGTACGAAAGCACCAGTCAGCCATCTCTGTACTTTACTGACCTTAATGGTATCAGGGTGATATAGGGTCAGGTGAAGGATTTTTTCACAAGTAGAAAGAAACCTTACCTCAGTATCAGTAATATTATGAAAATAATGGAAGAAGAAATTTACCTCAGCAGCTTGAGAAGGGTGGATTGCACAATGTATGCATGTGTGAAGATGAATATGGCTGGGACCCAGCTATTGAGTGAATGTTTCTTAACTCATCTGTGAGAAGATTCAGTTGACATTTCCAGTGACAGGGATTCATTTGTAAACTTGAACTTCTCCTTGAACCAGGGCACATATCATCAGTTAGTGACAGACCATTATGTCATCACAAAGAAGTTACTTGATTCAGTTTTCAGCATCATTCTAATGTCCATCTGACATTGGGGATTTCAGGCATACTGAATTAATACTTTTCACCAGATGGCAGTTGGTATGTGTGAAGGATAATGTCAGGGCACTCTGAAATATGTACATATGCATATGGTATTACGAAGTTTGATTAATATACCGTATTCCTTTTATTGGGAATTAATTTATTACTGTGTTTTGGAAATAGCACATTTCTAATGTGTTTAACATTTTGCAGTACTGATCCATTCTCGTTTCTTTTAAAAATTTTGCTTGGTTACAGGCAAGCAAATTTATGGAAACCTGTATGTTCTACCACAGAATTCATCCTGATAATGTCACTCCATTTTTTTTTGTCAAAAACTTCAAGATGACATGTGATTCCTTAAATGTCCTCATAGAAATGCAATCATTGGAGGTATTTATTCACCAGTTGTAAAAGCTCTTCTTAACACATAGTGGATGGGTCAAAATAAAAGCTGTGATTTAAATGCCATGCATTTTGGTCACATACATATCTGTATTTTGGTCATCTGTGGTGTTCTTCACCTGGTGGTTGTCACTGTGGCTCACATATCGGCTCAAGGTTATTACTAGCTTGAAGAAAGATGTTTATATCTCTTAATAATAAATACAAACCACTTATAACCTATGGCCTTAGATACTGTCTGTATGCACAACAGTGCTAATGTAATTACCACTTGGTTCCAAAATAAATGAAAGATAGGGCACTTGTAACCAGTACCTTTAAATACCTAACAGTGCACAACAGTTCTGCTAGTCACTATGCTTAGTTCCCGAGACAAAGATCATTCATAATTTATGCTCACTGATATATTGGGTTTTTGGACTTTATCCATCGTCCTGGTTTTTAAGGTAANTAAAAACCAGGACGATGGATAAAGTCCAAAAACCCAATATATCAGTGTGTTATACACCATCGTCAGAATCCTATAGTAACTACTTATAATTTATGCTCTTTAATACCTTAACTATGCAGAACAATTCTGCCATTCAGTTTGCTTGGTTCTCAGAATACAGACCACTTGTGATCTTGTTCATTAATACCATAAAAATGCAAAACATTTTATTTATTTTGCTATGTTCCCTCTGTTGCTCTATGATTTTATATAGTACCAGACGTGGGTTTTGAATACCGAAGTTATAGCCAATATTGGTATTCTGTCAGAAATTTACACAAATAGCTTTCTGATATATTCAGTGATGGAGGTACTGAAACAAACTCTGGACACTTATGTAGCTTCCAGCAGTTCATGTAGGAACTATAATAGTCTCACTAAATCACACAATCCCAATATCACTGTACTACAGCACTCATAAAATCTTCAAATCACATGTAAATTCTTCACAGGCTGACTTCTAATTCTTCTTTGACTTTGCACTTCCTGTAGCGGACTTCAGCTCTCCAGTCTAATTCTCTCAACTGTGTTGTAGTGACAAATGTCTTCAAGATAACTCCTCAACACAGACCATGCCCACAGAAAACACATGTTATGTGACAGCTACCCAGCCAGGCTATTGGGTTGGTGGCTGCTGCCTACAGAAAACATATGTCATGCGACAGCTACCAGTTGTGGTGATGTTACCATGCATGTGCAAGCTGCGTGGGCATAAAGAAAACATTACTCCAGTATTGTTGGCCGTATTTGTGTTGTGGGTGTTGCCTAGCAACGGATTTACATGTCACAGTATTTGCAGACACGATAGAATTTACAGATGATAAATAGTAAACAAAAATTATATTAGCAGAGTTTGTCCTTACAGAAACAGGCATTGAATGGCTGTAGTGCTAGTGCAGTAAAGCTGAGCTCACTCTACCACACCACTGAAGTACTACAACAAAATAACACTTCAGTACCAGGTATAAGGAAACACCGAAAAGACCTGTAAAATACAATTCACACACAAAAGATATGATAATACCAGCCATAAGGAAGGTAATGAAGGAATCCACAAAACATGTTTCATATACAGTTGGGTAAATTTTCAAAGCCAATCTTGAATTGACGACATTCTCTACACTGCAGAGTGACTCTGCAAAGTCCTATTACTGTTGCTACATTGAAACATATTCTGTTTGTTTCTTGTAGTATGCATTATATAATCCTATAACTATTTGTACACTTTAAAATAACCACATAGGTATATAATTATTGCAGAGCTATAGGCACTAATTTATCATAATTTATGCACATCATATTACATATGATGTTCACTGAGCTGGGCAAAGCATCACTCAATGCAAATATCATTTTGCAGAATTTTGAACTATTTTTAAATAAATTTTGAGAGATATAGTAACTTGCTTTGTATGACAGTACATAAAATTGCAGGGGGTGCAACTGAAGTGTTCAGTGTTGGCTTGTAAATGAGTGGCAGTGGATGAAATTTATGTTGTACTTCAAGTATTTATGTTAATGGGATGTTCGAGGATTACCACACCAAGCTGAAATTGTGCAATGTAAATCGTGGCCTCACGTTCTGTATTCATATGCATGGTGAACAAAACGAACACATCCTGATAGTTGGATGAAAGAAGAAAAACTGACACTCCAAATCTGCATCTTGTGACAATTTCACAATGTTTTACAGTTTTTGCAATACGTTTTAAATTCCAGATTTTGGGTTCAGCAACCACTATAAACCCGGACAGGTGATGTCAACATGGTGTGGGAGCCCACCATATGCAGCTCCTGAGTTGTTTGAGGGCAGAGAATATGATGGACCAAAGACAGACATTTGGGTATGCACTGCTGTACACCAGATGAAACAGCTATACAGTTGTCAGCATTTTGTGCTTCCTAATATATTCTGATCTTACCTCATATGTGGGGTAAGATTTATTATATTCAGTTTTCAGAACTGATAATATACCCAAGAGCATGAAACAGAATAGAATTATAGCTTTGAGAAGGGGCAGTGGTTGAAATGAACTACAGAATGTTTCCTGATTTGCAGTTTATAAGATTTCAGGTGGACTACTTGAAGACTTAAGATGTAACATCACAAGAAATCCTACTTCTTTTGTATATGCAGAGCCTTGTAACATGTGGTATATAGTCATACAAACATCTGTATTGTTTTCACTATAAATTTTTATCATGGGTTCATTTTGCATAACTGTTTTAAATTATGTACAGGTTTATTTAACGTTTAGTGATATCAGGAAGGAAGGAAGGGTGAGCTTTCCAGGCCCACAACTTGTATATGTATATTTTGTTTCACTTTGTTGCAAGGATTTTTTTATCAGAATTTAAACTGCAGTTGAAGCATATTTCCACCATGTCTCGAGGAAGAAATCAGTGTTCAGGAATATTTTTGTGATGGCCACACCTGAACTTGAATCTTAAAAAAATTATAGAACAACATTTGCCAAAACTTTGTAAACTGTGATGAAATGTTGTGAAGTTGTATCTGTACAGATAACAAAACATGCCAGATATTATAGAGATTTTGGGAGAATACTTCCGTAGTTAGATTGACCCTAAATTTGACCAACGTCTTATACAAAACACTTGTAGCTTGGGATCTGCAAATAAAATGTTCATTTTTTATTTGATGGAGAATCCTTGAAGACCCATTGATCAGTGTCATCCTTAGGCTTTGAGGACCTGTACGTAATGTGTAATGTTGGCTTTTGAAGTTCAGCCTCATCATGTCTTGAAGCTGTTTCCAGGATTTGGAACAGTGACCCCTCTCATTGGATAGCATCATGTTGCACACACCCATTCCACACTTTCATTGTGAGACCTCTATGTTGGGCACATCCTCCTCTCCCTCCATTAACTCTCAGTGAGGTGACTGCATTGTATGCTGAAATGTTGGAAAAACTTCAGCACACAATGTGGTTAAACTCTGAAAGCCAAAATTATGTTTCGTGGTTGGGTTTGCTGGAATTACACTCAAGAATTTGTGAGACCTTACTTATCACAGGTACTGGTGTTAGTTTCATTTTGCTGGGGTTCACTGAAGTCGGTTGCTCATTTCAGATTGAGTGTTGTTTTGTATGTACTGGTATATGGAACTCTTCTGTTTGATGACTAACACTGCTTGTTTCAGAGTATGGGCGTGGTTTTATATGTATTAGTTTGTGGAGCTCTTCCGTTCGATGGCACAACACTGCAATCTTTGCGCACAAGAGTGATCTCAGGAAAGTTTCGTATACCTTTCTTCATGTCAGCAGGTGAGCTGTGCCTTTATGCTTTGCACTGAGGGTTGAAATAAATGTTGTGTTTGGCTCTGAGTTTACTGGCCTGTGTCAACATTTATCTTGCCTGTAGAAGATTTGCTGTATATGTAGTTGAAAATAACAGATTAGAAGATCACTTCAGCAGTTATATGAAAAGCTGACTTTCACTTTCACTTTCACTTTATTTTAAATTCCATAGATCCTTTTCAGGTCATGCATGCCATAGGATATAGAACATGTCAAAATACATAAATGCATACATTCATTCCCTTTATTTTCCATATATCCATAGAGGCAAAAATCCTAGGATGTGGAAATAGTCCCTTTGATAATAGATGTATACATATAATAAATTACATAAGTCACACAACCAAAATCACACACACTAGTCAACCAACATAGATAATAGAACAAAAAAACTTATTACAATTATAATTAATAAACATAATTTAAAAAAGAACGTTACTATAAAAACTTAAAATTAATACAATTTCACTCAAATTACCCAAATTAACTGAATTAAATGAATTACAAATTTACACACTTATGACCAACTATCTTTCCTTCTTTCTTTCTTTATTTAATTTTCTCATAAATCAAAATACATTGATACAGGACTCGTCATATACATACATACATACATACATACATGCATACATACATACATACACACCCTCCACTTTAACATATCCTCCACATAAAAACAATGAACCCATCAACATGCAAAACAGTCACAATACAAAATTTGTACATAAAATATTCAAATATGATCAAATTTATGCAGATATATGATTATTATCATCATTGTCACCACCATAAATCAATACAAAAGATCTATTCATAATATAGAAGTTTGATGCAATTATTTTGGTCACATAACTACAAATACTTAATTTAACAGTCCAAATATAGTAAATTTCATGAGGATTTAAAAATTGGAATATACAATAAAAATTCAGTATATACAATCAGTCATTTCATAGCAAGAACCTTAAAATTTGAAAACTATTTATTAACATATTCCTCTACAGGATAGAAGGAAATGAGCTGTGTGTAAACCATTCATGACCATCTTAATTGTATACAGTCATATGCTATTTAAAATAGATGGTCTATTACAATACCATACTACCATAAAATCTATACCCTTAAATGTCGAGCGACTGGTCAGTGGGTAATACATCATGTGTAAAATCAGGCTAACAAACAATTCAAGAGAATATCTGGATTACAAACCTTTGTCTTCTTTATATTGAAAATATTCGCTTATAGGGTAAAAAGAATGATGACATAAAAACCTCTTTAATATAAATTTAAAGCTTTTCTCATTGACCAAAATCTTCATTGATCGTGGAAGATGATTAAACACTTTAATACCTGTTATATAGGCTCCTTTATTAAATTTTGAAGTATTCACACTAGGTACATGTAAATTACCTTGGGATCTAGTTATATATTCATGAATCTCGTTATTAAAGTTAAATAAATGTATATTATTAATTATATATAAAAGTAGTGAGTATATATACTGAAAATATAATGTCATAATTTCCAATTTCTTGAAAATATCCTTGCAAGAATCTCTAGGATTAGTATTTGTTACGATTCTAATAATTTTCTTTTGCAAGATAAACACTTTCCTGGCATGTGAGGAGCCACCCCAGAAGATTATACCATAACTCATGATGGAGTGTACTTAAGCAAAGTAGACTGGCCTTAATGTTGCAAATGATACAATATGTTTTATATTTCATTATATCATTATGTATGTTAGCAGTTAATGTTCATAATAGATATGAATAGGAGAAGAAAATGAAAGTGGAAGGTATTCTTGAGTCAGTATTGTTGTGCTCACAGTTTCCTAAAAATTCATAGCGTACGTCTTGATTGCAATACTACTTAACTAACTTCATGGAGCAGATTCCTACTGGATAAGCCGAACTTTCATAGTCTTTCAAGAGATTTTCAGCATTTTATGGAACCTGAAAGCTCATTGCCTTTTTCAGAAGGTCCCACTGTTGGTCTCTGTCTTGGGCCAGATAAGTTGAGTCCACTGGATTTGTGGTTGTCACAACAGTGGTTATGAAGAGTACAGTCTTCTGGGTCATAACACTGTTAATTTGGAGTAAGGTGGACATTTTGGAGGAATGTATCATCTCCATTTTCAGGTTGAAGTAGAAGCCAAGCAAGGACCAGCCAGAAAGCTGAGTTACCCACATGTGAAAAATGCAGCCTGATACAGGCCAGTCCAAGCCAGAAAGTAACTGTGAGAGTGCCAATGGAAGATTGACTGTTGGTAGTGCAGGGAATAAGATTCCCAGTGGGAACAAAGGGGGTACCCTTTCATTTGCTCCCATTGTCTTTTTTGAGTCCTCATACTAATAATGGCTTCTTGTCCATTGACATTCTCACAGTTCCTTTCAGACTTTGATTGTTCTACATCAGACTGGATGTTCCATGCATGGCTCATGCAGCTTGCCAGCTGCTTCTGCGTGTTTGTTGCCTGGTTTACTATTCAGCCCTGAAGACAGAGGCAGTATGTTCCTCAGAAATGTCCAGTTCTCTCTAAACTATACGTTGTTACAACACAGAAGACTACTCATTAATGTTAATATTATCCCCCCATCTATGGTCCTGTCTTCCTGTTGGTCCCTTTTCTTCAGGTTTCCATAACAAGTCATTGTATACACTTCCCTCCCATGCCTGCTATAAGCCTTGCCAATCTAATCCTTTTCAGGTGGATCATTTTGATAATAGTTGTTGAGGGGTACAAATTATGAAGCTCCTCATTATGCAGTTTACTCTAGCCCCCTTTAATTTTATACCTTATAAGTTAAAATGTTCTCAGCGTCCTGTTCTTAGATTCCCTCAGTCTGTGTTCTTCTCTTCACATGAGAGTTCAAGTTTCATATCCATACAATACTACAGTCAAAATTATAGTTTTGTATTTCTTAATCTACCTCTTTTCAGGTATCAGGCGAGAAGAGAAAAATTGAAGAGTTGTGTCCTTTGGGATATAAAGTGTTGGGAATCGTGGACTCAGTGTGATGCGATAATGCATGTGTTGCAGGTAAACCCTTCCCTGCTGTGACGTAATGGCATAGGAGCCCCTGCTGCTGCTAGGGGCAACAGGCCAGTAAACACTTCTCCTCTGGTATGTTGCAGCAGGGAAGTGTTCACCGTCTTGTTGCCTAGCACAGCTCCTTTGCTGTTGTGTCATCATGGGGAAGTGTTTACTGGCTTGTTGCCCTTAGCAGCAGCAGTGGCTCCTATGCTGTTACTTCACCGCAGGGAAGGGTTTAGCCGCAACGCGTGCATTATCGCGTCGCGCTGAGCCCACAATTCCCAACATAAAGGTCTGCTAGCCAATTTCATGTTGTGATTCTGTACTCCATTCTGATGACAAGACATCACCATAGACTTAGTTTTCTCTGTGTTTGCTACTGGACCAACTTCCTTACTAGCTTCCATTGGATGTTCTCTGTTTATCTTATGGTATTTATATTATATCTCATTAGATTTAAGTCATCAGCCTAGGTCAGAAACTGATGTGTCCGATTCAGTTTCAGTCTCTCCTGGTTTTCCTGGACCTTGATAACGGTGTAGTCTAAAGCAAAGTTGAAAAGTAATGATGATAAACCATTACCTTATTTCTGACCATATGGAATATGAAACATGTATGATACCTATATGGAGTTTACAGGAGGTTTCATTTCAACATGTTTGTAATTGTAATTTATTTCGAGTTCCAGAAGATCCAACAAAACTGGTTACAAACCATAGGATATAGAACATGTTAAAATACAGACTAGAACATGTCAATATAAACAAAATATAAAAATACAATACAATCATAAACACAGTTAAGAAATTATTTGAGCTCAAAAGAGCATGTCACAAATATAAAGCAAAAAATAAATAAATTAAATAAATAAATGATATAAATGGCAACAAATATTATCATAAATACAATAAAACTTTTATGCAGATAGACTCATATAATTAGTATAAGATAACATGCAAATTCATTTAAAACCATTATTTACAACATCATTCATTAGCACTATAATACTCCTCCAAGTCATAAAAACAATGAGTAATCAAATATCTTCTTAGAGAAATCTTAAATGTTAATGTTTATATTCAGTTATTTAATGATGCTATCAGCGTTGACACTATGTAGTGTTCATGATATGATGATTAGTGAATATGAAGCAGCTGATGGATTTGGAATTGACTGCAGAAGCCAAAGTTCTCTGAGAAAATCTGTTTGAGTGCCACTTTGTCTGCCATAAATGCCACATAGCCTGAGTTGTGGCATTACCACATATTAATTAACACCATTAGTTTAATAAATATACCAAATTCAGTGAGAATACTGAACAGTACTTCTCACCTCACTAAATCTTATGCTCTCTTTGAGCCTATGAATAGTTGATGTAATGTCTCATTGTACTCCCAATTCTTCTCCAGTATCTGACAAATGCAGTAGTTGATCTGTTATGTCAAAACCCACAATTGTGATCCCCAATAATTTTGCTTACACACAGAGTTAACATAAAGAGAAAAATGCTGGATAAAATGTTGTGTGAAATTGATAACAATGATATGCTTCGGTAATAACTGCATTAATATTTATCACCCTTCTTGTAAATGGGTATACTAATATACTCCTTCCACTGCTGACAGAACTCTTCCTTATTCCAAATAGTATTTATGAGATCATGCAACTTAGAATATAATGCTTCATCTCCTGCTTGAATAACTTCTGCAGAAAGTGACAGTATGATACACATATTTAGCACTGCTTAATGTATATTTTCATTTTTGTCAAGTTTAGTATTTAGTATAAATGGAACTCCTTTCCAGAACTGCAAGCAGTTCTTGACTGTGTTTATTGTAGACAAAAAGTGTGACATTTGAACATAAAGTGTTTCCTCAGTGGATCTTATGTTCCAAATTGAATGTTAATGTTGATAACTGCAGTAATTTTCCTTTGAAATATCAGTGGGGATTATGGTAGTTTCCAGTTAATTCCATTAGATAGTGTGGCTGATAATTAGTTCATTGGTTATAGAACAGTGCTGGATCAACTTTGTTTAGCATTAAATGACTAGAGAAGATGATTATATGCAGGGAATGGATTGCTGAGGAAGTGGCTGCATCTCTTTAACGTCACACTCCTGAGAGAAGTCACATTAATAATGAACAGTATCAGTCAAGACAGGTGGGACTCAAAACAGGGTGGCTCCTGAATACAAGTCAGAGATATTAGTGCTTTAGCTAATGTCACTCAAGTTATGAACTGAAATTGAATGTTGAATTTAGAACATAAGATTTATTGAGAAAACAATTTGTGTGCACATGCACGCTTTCTGTCTGTTAACTGCATAAAAAAAGTAACTTGAAAATTTCTGGAAAGACACTGAAATTATATTACTAGCAAGCTACCGAATTTTTAATATAATGTGAATTGTGGTTCTAAGTACCGTATGTCCAAAAAGTATATGATTATTTTTTTCTGCTGTAAGTAATGGCCAAAGGGGTGGGGAAACTGAGCGTAGTGGTAGAAGGGACTTTCATGCGCATGCGTGATTTTTTGCTCACTCGCAACACTGCCAGATAGCGAAGTGGTGTAACACGTGTTCGTTGCATTCTCCTTTTGCTCAAGAGGACAGAACGCTTGGAGCAGCGATACTGCATTAAGTTTTGTCAGAGACTTGGGGATACCCAAGCGGAAACAATTCGCACAATTCAGCAGGCTTTCGGCAATGATGCAATGAGGTTCACTCAAGTTAAAGAGTGGTTCAACCGCTTTAAACATAGCCATATGTTGGCGGACAGTGAGCAGCGTTCCGGGAGACCGTCAACGAGCCAAAATGCTGATTTCATTGAAAAAGTGCAGACACTGATCATGGAGGACCATCGTTTGGCCATCTGTAAAGTTGGTGATGCGGTTGGGATCAGCAGAGGTTCCGCAAATACAATTTTAACTGAGGATTTGGGCATGCAAAGAGTGGAGGCAAAATTTGTGCCCAAGCTGCTTTTGCCAGAGCAGCAACAACTCCGCCTTGAGGTTGCGCAGGACATGCTGGAGTGCGCCAACAGGGATCCTGAGTTCCTGAAAACTGTGATCACTGGTGACAAGTCAAGGGTGTACGGATATGACCTGGAAACCAAGGTCCAGGCGTCACAATGGAAGCATCCAACATCCCCGGGGCCCAAAAGAGCATGACTGGTTCGGAGCAATGTGAAGGTGATACTGACTTTTTTTCGATTACCGGGGTGTTGTGCATCATGAGTACGCACCACTAGGACAGACTGTCAATAAGGAGTACTACCAAGAAGTCCTCTGCCATCTTCGTGATGCAGTTCGGCGCAAGAGACTGGAGATGTGGGACACGTGCAACTGGCAGCTGCATCATGACAACGCCCCAGCTCATTCATCACACCTGATCCAGAGTTTAGTGGCCAAGCACGGCATTCTGCAGGTTCACCAGGCTCCCTACTCTCCTGATATGGGTACTTGTGATTTCTTGCTGTTCCCGAGATTGAAGACACCGCTAAAAGGCTGCCGTTTTGACAGCTACAAGGACCTCATACAGAACACGATGGCGCAGCTGCACACCATTCCAAAAGAAGCCTTCCAGAATTGCTTCCAGCGATGGAAGGACCGCTGGGCTATTATTATTATTATTATTATTATTATTAGTAGTAGTAGTAGTAGTAGTAGTAGTAGTAGTAATATTATTATTGGAGGGGGTGGGTTTCCCCATGCACTGCGACTGGTTATTAATATATTGTGCGTCCCCCTTTAATATTCTACCAGTCCCCATGCCCTTCCAGTACTGGTGCTCGCTATCAGCCCCGTTCTGCCAGCGAGGTCTGCCCTCTCTGGCAGTGGTCCCCGATACTTTCCCATCTACCGGAGGAATTGGAAACTACTTGGGCGGGAAACTTTGCCTAATTTTGCTCAGAGGTCTCCTAGAGACATGAGGATCTTTTACGTGCCATAAATCTACAACACGGGACATGCGGCTTAAGTCCCTCCCAGAGGACTTGTTCCCTGAATTTTTCCGCCCTTAAAAATTCCACGACCTCTGCCGGGTTTGAACCCGCGTACCTTGAGTCATGAGGTGGGAACATTAGCCCTAAACTACGGAGGCCGCTACCGCTGGGCTAAGTGTGTGGAGTCACAAGGTGCCTACTTTGAAGGTGATTAGGTGCTGTAACCACCCAGATACAGAACTTATTTCCTGGCCCAAGGTCGAATACTTTTTGGACAGAGTAGTATACCTACAGTTTGCTGAAGTTCTGAAGTTGTGTAGCTTGTTTGAAGCATTCTTTTAATATTTAAGGGGCTGGTAAAGAAAGCAGGTCAAGTTTACTCAAGGAGTGTCAACCTAAATGGAAATGTTGAAGGGCTAAGGAGACAGTTCCATGGTTCAGTTCATTATTATATTCAGTTTGTAGTGAAAGTCGTTTCACCGGCTTTGAAAAACCTGAAACAGAGTTTCTCGAGAGACTCATATGGAAATTCTCAAAGAAAGGAATGAGTCTTCTTTTACTATAGTATTGCCTGTTATTTTGATAAAAAACAAAGATATCCAGGTAATGGAAGGTAACTTGATTCTGACTTTGTCAATGGGTTAACTGACTTGCCTATGAATAAGTTTAATACATAAAGGTTTTGCTAATGTTCTTTCCTTCGGATAAGACAGATTTAATAGTATAGAATACCAAGTACATGATATTGTAATGTTGCAGACTGTGAACATCTCATAAGGCACATGCTGGTAGTAGATCCAGAGCGAAGACTGGGTATTAAGCAAATACTGCACCATCGTTGGATGCTGCAGGTACTGTACTCAGTCTTCTTCAGTTCTGTATTTGAAGTGTCTGTTGTTTGTCTCATGAGTACATTGAGTCATTGAACTGTAGACACTTTGATATTGCACATTTTTAAGTCAGCTCCAGTAAATGTCCATAACAAAAATGTTAATGTTTAGCTAGTTTTACAGTTTCCACCGTTTATGATTATAGCCGATCTCTGTCCTTACTCTTGAACTCACCAACCATCAGTAATCTTACGGGATTAGTTCAGTGGATAGGATATAACTTGGTGTTTTGATGGTTGAATTGGTTCAGTAGAGCCATGACTTATCTTAAGGAATATTGCGTGCAGGCTTTAACATATGCCAGCATAGGTCAAGAATCAGTGGAACTCGGAATGGTGTGGATTACATTAATTATTATCTGTTCAGTGCTTAAAATGTTCGTAATCTGTGTATTTAGTCGATTTATTTTTGCTCATAAAAGCATAACAATAATCACCATTAAGCTGGCATGTACCTGACACAATGCATATAATGGATTATTCACTTTTACTCTGACTTCTGATGTGTTGCATTACTCATGTGGCAGAGGCTATACTAAGATGATGAATGGTTAGCCATGGATGATAATATGGATCATGAGTCACATGGAGAGTGTTGTTTGGAGTCAACAGCTAGCAATAAATTTAGAATTTAGAACTACTTCATAAAATATGTTGCATACATGATATATATGATTTGTTTATTTGTGTACTGAAGACAAAATCATGATGAAAGAAAGTAGAATTCATAAATGGCTAAAATAAATGCGATTAAAATTAATTGAATTACGCATTCTTAAATGAAAATTAAAAGAAGGAGTAAGAAAAATTTTGAGTAATGCAATCAGTTATGTGTCATGTATGCTGAGGTATACCTGTATGTGACTGTCAATGGCTGTTTGCTGCGAAATGTAATTTTTGCTTGCAATGAATACTAATGAATGAATGAATGTATAGGGAGTGGGCCTTCTCAGCCCTTGCACCGCGACCACAGTGCTCTATTGTGCTTCCCCTTTTGATTATCCCCTCACCAATCCTGCACTTCAAATGGAGCGCAGGATTTTGTATGTGGGGGCGTCGAAATAGTCGCTTGGTTCCATAAAATATTGACCCAAGTGACATAATCTTAAATACGCTAAGGCCTCACATTCGCACAGGATATGTGTGGCTATTTCATTTTCTTCTTGACACCTCTCACCAGTGGGACTATTACTTAGTTCCAATTTGAAGAGGTGTCCTTTAAGGTGACAGTGTCCTGTAAGTAGTCCCACCATCCAGCTTAGCTGGTTCCTGTTTAACTTCAACAGTTCCTTCCCTCTTTTAGCAGAGGGTCCTCGTATGAGTCCCTTTGCTTGCCTGAGGCCAGTCAAGGATCCCCAGCATTTCTTGTGCTTCATGTTTGTCCAGTTCGTGATTGCCTTTCTGGCAACTCCTATAGAGATGCCACATGCTGGTTCAGGTCCTGTGAACAGATGATCAGCTCCAGTCTTAGCCAATTGAGCTGCTGTTTCGTTTCCAGGAATACCCTCATGCCCCAGCACCCATATCAGTTGTACCCATTCATTCATTCATTCATTCGTGTTCGTTCGTCCGTTCCGTTCCGTTCATAAAAATGCCTCAAACTGGTATTTTATTATTCAAGGCCTTTAATATTTCATTAATTAAATTTATGAAGCGAGTTCTGTGGATGAATCACATCTGAAACCATATTGGTGATTGGATAATATATTGTTATTCTTTATGTGATGGAGCAATCTCACAAATATAACCTTTTCAGTAACTTTTGAAAAGGATGTAAGTAACGATAGAGGTCTATAATTCATCATATTCGTTTTATCAGCATTCTTAAATAATGGTATTATTTCAGAGTATTTCAAACGAGTGGGGAAAACACCGGTTGAAAGTAGTCTGTTACAGATATAAGTTAAAGGAGAAGTAATAGCAGGTGTGCTAGTTTTTGGAATATTGACCGAAATTTCATCACACCCATAGAATTTTTGGGTTTTAATGACTTAATTATGTTTCCAGTTTCTTTAGTAGATGTAGGTTTAAGTTTAATTTCAGGGAAAGGAGTTGGAAATGCCTGAGATAAATAGCTCCAATGTTTATCAATATCGAACTCTATAAATGATCATTCTTAGCATTATTGCTGTTAATTTTATTTACTATAGTCAGAAAGTAGTTATTTAAAGAATTGGCAGTTAATTGGTGACTATCAGTTAGCTTCCCTTCAACATTTAAGAACTGCGCTTCAGTATTATTGATTCTCTTACCAGTAACCGTTTTAATAATATTCCATGTGGTTTTAATTTTATTGTTAGAATTCGAAATTAATCCATTATAATAAAGATTTTTGGCTGCCCTAATGACATTAGACAGAATTTTTGAGTAAGTTTTAAAATTGGATTTAAGGTTTGGATCATTACTGGTTTTCATGGACAAATAGAGCTCTCTTTTATGTTGACATGAGGTCTTTATGCCCCTTGTCATCCAAGGGTTATATTTCATATATTCATAACTAATTTTTTAGGGAAGTTAAAATTAAATATTTTTAAATAAGTATTAAGAAATGAGTTGAAAATTGAATCAATATCCTGATCAACAAATACGCTATCCCAAGTTTCATTACTTAATTGAGTCAAGAACTCATTTCTAGAAGCTTTATTGAATTTCCTCACAAGATGCCTACAGCTATTTTGGTTATGTAAAACAATGTTATTCATATATAAGATCTGGTTATCATGGTCAGGCAGTCCATTAACATGACATTTAGTATAATTTCCATGTATGTGAAGATCAATAAAAAATATTATTAATATCAGAGCCTGAGTTGGTTTGGATCCTAGCAGGAAAATCTACTGTACTAGAAAGGTTAAAATGAAGATAATAGAACATCCAATTGTTTCTTGTTATTACTATCAATTAAGTAACTTATATTGATATCACCACATATTATCAATTCCAACTTAGATCGAGCAAGAAATTTAAAATGGCGTCTAATCCCTTCAGAAAATAAGCAAAGTTACCGGATGGTGCTCTGTACATGTAAATAGATAGAACACAAATATTACCATGCAGAAAAGGAAGTTTCACTGCACAAACTTCAAGGTCTTTGTCTTTACAAAAGGCACTTAAATTGACAGCTAAAAATTTTAGTTTTTCCTGTACAAATATGCATGATCCACCTAATTTAAAAATTTTCCTACAATAAGCAGCACTGAATTTATGATGTTCTATATAAGTACAGCCCAGATCATTATAATTTAAGTGGTGTTCAGTTAGACATCACACATGCAGCAGCTCAGGATGTAGGGAGCTAATTAATTAATTGGTTTTGCCTTGTACGCCCCTGATATTTTGGTGATATACAGGTATGTTAAGAGAATTATCACCAGAAGAATGAAATTTGTATCTCTTACTGTTATAGCTCAGAGAATTTAATTTTGAATGATTATGATCAAAATTAGCACTTCATCTACGAGTATTGTTAAAATTACCTAAACCATTACTCCTAAGATCACTAACTGACCCCGGAGACTGAGTCACCATAAAAAATCCCTATTTCTTATTATGGGCATTCACCTTATTCTATTAGATGATCTATTAGCTACAGAATTAATTGAATTTGAAACAGAACTCTGAGAAGAATGGTCCAAATTTAAAATTGTTTGACTTGAGACTTCCACACAGCTTTCCATTTCATCAGAAGAAGCATGGTCCAAGTTTAAAATTGTTTGACTAGAGACTTCCACACAACTTTCCATTTCATCAGGAGAAGAATTTCCCTCTAAGTCTTGATTGGAAAGATCATTTTTCCAGCCCAGACCAAATGGGGTTGAGGCCACCTTAAACAGTCTATCATAAATATGACACACAAGCTGCTTCACAATTGCATCTTTTCCTAACCCATTTAAATGAAATCCAAGTTTAGTAAAAAGATCCTTATTGAGATCAACAACAACAAGGGTACAATGCTCATATAATTTTATACATTTTGCTAGTTTTCTATTGAACCTGGTTACTTCCTTACTGACACATGAGGATTTAATCAAATCATGCCTATGGGGCACATTTAAGAGAATGATAGTGTGACTACATGCTTTAGCAAAATTTAGAATATGATTCAAACCAATCTCAGAATTATTCTTATATACATCATTGGAGCCACCCCAGAAAACCAACATGTCACTCTTTGATAGGTTCATAACCTCATTATCAATAGATTTTGTTAAATTATAAGCATCCGAGCCCGGTTTCACCAGTCCACAAACTTCAGACTTGTCACTTACCATGTTCTTGACTCTCACTGCACATCCTTTTGCATGGCTGTCTCCAATTAATAACTTACGCTTCCTTTTCAAAGGAGATAATTTGTTACCAGCTTTCCTGCATAAGGCACAATCACTGATATTCAGTTTATCACTCTCCAAAAACTCACTTCCATCATTAGAGCCAGTATTAGTCGTACCAATAATGATAGTAGGGATTTTATGTATTGTTTCATCTTTGGGATATGTTGATTTAATGGGTCGAAATGCAGAAAACTGTAGATCAGCTTTCACTGGATAAACAGCCCCTAAATAGTCACTTATAATTCTTACAGATCCCCTCGAATGGGGATCCTTAATATTGTCCTTAAACATAACTTTTCATTCTTCAGTAGTCTCACTTTGCCTACTTCCTAGCTTCTGTATCTGATTTTTCAAATTATCTTGGGAGGAGTCACTTTTATTTTCTTTCTTTGCTGAGTCCACCTTTTAAGCTGCTCATAACCTCTAAAACATCACTGAATATCTCCTCCCTTAGTATTCTAATTATTTCAGTAGCTGATTCCAATTCAAGAATAGCACATTTTAATTTCCATGTTAAACTCGCACAGCACAAGCATTCATCTCCCAGATTAGCCATCAGAATTCCTGTATTATTTAGCACCACACTTTCACCATCTACTGAATCATTCGCCATGTTGAAGTGTCACTTGACACTTATAGTGAATCTCTTTTTTGGGCTTAAAGTCATGAACATGGTGGACACTGTTTAATGCAATAATCTCAGTAATAAATATGACATGTTATGTTTGGCCTGTTCCATGAGGGTTTGGTGGCAATCCCAGTCCAATTTTGAGTTGATCTGGTATTAAGTGCAGCCTGGCTGCCAGATAGAATGTAGATGTTCCTATTTCTGTAGTTTGTATCTGAATTCTCCATAATAACTGCCTTAATGGCATATACTTCTGACTGGAATACTATTGTACTGCCCAAGGCTGAAACTAAGTTTCCGTCTCGTGCCATAACCGTACACGCCAGCTCCAGTGCCCTTATTTATCTTGCAACCATCTATATACCAGATCAGTCCCCCTTTTCTATCGGGCCGAAACCCGTCTTCCCATTCACTCCTGTCAGGAAATCTGACTGTGAAGGGTGTTTCATATACATGTCTCAGTATCATTTTGTCAGACCCCATTAGTAATATGGGTTCTTTTTTCATGTTCTGAGTTATGTATGCATGTCTGAAACTAACGAATCTAGGTTTCCATTGATCACTGCACTGGAGACGGTAGATTCCTGCCCTGGCCTCTGCCTCCAACTGTATATGCAGTGGGGGGAGTCAAAAGAGTGTCTCCAGTGCAGCTGTGGGAGATGTTTGCATTGCTCCTGTGATACCCAAGCAAGCCAACCTTTGCAGTTTGCTAAGTTCTGCCTTACTTGTCTTGAATTTAACTCTGGGCTACCATACTGTGGCGCCATATATAATTATGGGTCTTACAACCACAGTGTATACCCAGTGCACAGCGTGTGGCTGCAGTCCCCAAGTTTTACCAAACATGCTTCTGCAGGTGTGCTAGAAGTACTAGCCCCTTGCAGTGGTATGTCAGTACTACTGACTCCCAAGAGAGGAGTTTTTGGTTTTACCTCAGGTAGGTTTCGAACCACTGGTTCGTCCCTGCCTTTGGGCAGTTCAACAGCAGGTTCACTGGTTGCAACTGGGTCCCTTAGTGGTTCACCAGAGCTTCCAGCCCCCTGCTGAAGCATTTCTCATAGGGATCCCCTTGGAGGGGGGTCCCTCTTTAGTTTAAGGTCCTTATGACCAGATTTTAGTTTGGTTCCTTTCATTTTGGTCCCACAAGTCATGGGGATTTAAAAGGTCGCCACCAGAAGCGCCCCATATGGGTGGAAGGCATAAATACAGTGGGGTGCTGCCTGGTGCCCCAAGGGGATCGTTCAAGACACTGGCTAATTACCACCCCAGTGCCATGCAGCCTTCAGCATGATGCCTCACACCTTGGCTTAGGTGGTCTGGTCCTGTTGTGAATGAAACCCTCACAAGCCTCCAGGACCAAGAGTGCCTGTTCAGGGGGAGAGGGGTATCCCAGATGATTAATGGGAGTGTGACACCAGTTAGTCATGAGGTTGCGACCAGGGCAACCTGCATGAGAGAGTTGCCCCTGGGGGTGACGTATGAGGTCCCCCATTCCCACCCCTCCACATGGGTTGGTCAAACCATTTTAAGAGTGTTGAGCCCTAAGGCTTGCGGCACCTTGTTGGTGCTCTGGGGAGACAACTCAAATAGCCGAAGCTATCCCCATGGGAGTGCTCTCCTGCATGCATCCCAGGTACACTGTAGTGATACCCAAGAGCCATTATGCCACCGCGTGGGAGGCTCCTGTCATAGTGCCATTGCCCTTTATAGGAACTTAGCCGCAAGCCCCGGTACGTCATACTGATCCAGACCCCAAGACTGTCATTGCCCAGCGGGACCATGAGGAGGTGTCCCAATGCATCCCTGGTCCATGATGCGTCCCCATCACAGGCACAGCCATGGTTCGGCCAACCTCATTGAGGATGGCATCATTATCACCTGTAACATGTGACCTAAGAAAGTCACAGTTACCCTGCCACAATGAATACTAAGTCAGGAGCATTGTTCTGACCATCAGTTTCATGTTGTAGACTTGATCTCTTGCACAAATTTGTAATAATATAATGCATGATCAGTGTCAGTTGGCATCAGATTTTCTATAGCTGTTTTCTACACTGCAGATGAATGCAGTGCAGTCTTGGGCATTACTGTTCACAGAGTTAATATTTGGTACGCCTTTTTAAAGGATTTAATTGTTGTAGAATGGGACAGCCAAAACCCTGTTGTGTGGGTATAAATACAGCATGTGATTGGATCACTCTTTGCATCAACCCATGGTGATGGAGACAGAGACAGTCTCTGAAATATTGGCTTCTAATTCATCTTCACACACCCGATTGTATGAGAAGACTTCATTGCATGTAGTCACCATGAAAACTACAATTCATATATAATAGTTTAAAAAGAATTACATATAGAATTTAAAAAAAAATCTTTTGGGTTTATAGAGTGTTTAGCAGAAATAGCTCCAAAGTTGTAATCATTTCTTCGGTTCTAATACTATTACTAGTTCAAAACTAAGTTTAAATTCTGCCATCATCCCAATAATACAAGAGATTTAAATCCACTATACCTGTACAGTAAAGGTTAAAAATATAGAAAAATATAGTTTTATTTTTTTATATTGTACGTGTGTCTTTATAAGAAGAACATGATTGCAATTGAAGAAAGTTGTCTTCTGGGTTTAGGCACGGTGCCTAAACCCAGAAGACAACTTTCTTCATTGTCATCGCCGTGAAAACCTCAAAACTTACATGATTGCAATTGTTTGAGAGCTTGTACTGTGAAGAATATTTGGACATAAGAGAGAGGAGATGAGAGAAAATTGTGTAATGAGAGCTTCATAATGCGTACCCTTCATATATTCTTCATGTGATCAAATCATAGAGGTTGAGATGATTGGTATATGTAACACACATGGAGGAAAATTATTATTGGAAAATGTCACTGGGGTGACGTAGGTGTAGATAGGAGGATAATATTAAAATGGGATTTGAAGATATAGAGTGATTTTATCTGGCTCAGGATAAGGTTCAGTGGTGGGATTTTGTGAGCTTAGTGCTAAACCTTAGGTTCTGTGAATGACAGGATGCAATTTCTTGACTGGATGAGTGTCTGTTAGCTGCCAAGGAGCGCTCTGCTCTGTGAAGTTAGGTGGTATATTAAATTGTTCTAATCTGAGACCATGTTGTTAGTTGTGCAATAGTGAACTTAAATTTTTGTTGTAGGGTGATATGGATACTGGAGTTCAGAAGATATTATCTGACACTGAAAATACCGAGGTGCCTCCACCCGTCAATAATTTAGTGTTGGAGCATATGCTGCAGTTACCAGGCCTGGATAAAGAAATGATACTGAAGGTAAAATTATGAAGTAGAATATCATGCAAAAAGTTACATAATTTTCGTCTGTAATGAATAGTGTTTATGGAGTGCAGCTAGTAATTGTGTGGCATTGAATGGTCAGTGTGTGGAGACAGAGGAAAGATGAAGACTAATTACTGCATTCAAGTATTACCAGAGGAATATTCTTTGAACATGAAATGGTCAGTATGAGGATGTGGGGAAAAGTTACGTTTACGAGGGCTGTTCAGAAAGGTGGTGAGCTGTTAATGAAACAAGCAATGAGGGGAAAAAATACGTACATGCTTAAGTTACTTCTCAGTGTAGTCACTGCCAGAATTGAGGGTCCTATTGTAATGGGGAATAAGTTTTTGTATGCCTCAATTGAAGCAGCCTGCTGCCTGTGAGCTCAGCCACATTTTGACACCTTCCATCAACTCCTCATTATTGCTGAAGTGCTGTGATCTAGACCAGTTCTTCGTGTAGGTAAACAAGTGATAGTCTCTTGGAGTGAAATCAGGGCTGTAAGGATGGTAGTCAAACAACTCCCAATTGAAATGTTCCAGCAGTGCTTGAGTGCTAGCAGCCGTATGTGGACACACGTTGTCATGGAGGAGCACTACACAGGATGTGTGGGTTATAGTTTTGTTTAGTACTTTCAAGAATTTAAAAGATGGGAGGGGATTGTTTACCTAATTCTTGTGTGAATAATCTGATCGTAATTTCTTGTTTCTTCCTCTAGTTACTTTGGATTGACATGCAAGTTTGGCTGTAATCAAGGAGGGGAATAATATATAATTCATATTGTCTGTTGTATTTTGCATTTATAATAATCATATAAATATACAGGGTGTATCAAAACTGAAAGGAAGATGATTTGAAGACACAGAGGACATTAAAAGAAATGTAACAAAAAAATTGTTGGCATTCATACAGATTAATTCAAAAAGTGTTTCCAACAATTTTATGAGCAAGCACAAAAGTGTGTGATATTTCAAGGAGATTATTTTGAAGAATATTAAAAGATATGGTTGATTTAAAATGTGATTTTCTAAAAATATATGCAATCCTGGATATTAATTATCTAACCTTATATTTCAGAAAATGAAACTGACAAATTGCATTCACTGTGTTCCAGTCTGTACATTCCAATAGTTTTGGGAACATTAGTGCCATATATCACTTACTGGTAGACAAACTGGAACGCCAGGACTTGACAAGAAGCAGCAGCAACATTCCATTGGTGGCTACACAACGCAAAGCTAGCATTACAACAGGTATCATTCTGTGATGACTGTAGGTTTCTTTAAATAATTTTATTCTAATCATTTTATAAGAATGGTTAGCTAGGAGCATTGCTTCCCTAGAATATACTGTGTCTGTTTTTCTCCTGAACTGGTGGTCTAAAGTACTTTTAATTTAAGCTGTAGTACTGTCCTCTCTTGGAAGGCTTCCAACATCACATTTTGTCTAGATAAGTCCACTGTCAACATCTTCCCAGCACCAACTGTACAAGGTTAATGCCATAGTATTAAACGTGCTACGAGGGTCGTACTGAAAGTCATGAGCAACAATTTTTTGTAAAGTAACATGCTTTATTATTGACAAACCAAATACCCCACTTCAGTCTACAGACCTTTCTTTATTTTTCCATATAATCACCACTTCTTTGTACACATTTCTCCCAGCATTCTGGGAGTTTGAAAATTCCCCTTCTGTAAAATTCCGTTCCAGCCATCTGAAGACACTGATGCACTGCTTTCTGAATTGCCTTCCTCGTCTCAAAACGTTGTCCACGCAGCTGATCCTTCACAAATCTGAAAAGATGGTAGTCAGACGGTGCCATATCAGGACTATAGGAGGGGTGTGGAAGACCTTCCCACCCCATCTTTGCAATTGCTTCCAATGTGAGGCGAGCGGCGTGGGGGCGAGCATTGTCATGCAGGATGATGGTGTTTCATCCCAGACGTTTATCGTGCAATGCACGATGGAGCTTGTGCAGCATCTGGATATAACGAGCAGCATTGATGGTTTGCCCAGGTTCCAGGAATTCGGCCAGAATAAACCCCTCTGCATCCCAGAAGACTGTGCCCATCACCTTCGCAGCTGATGGCACTGTCTTTGCCTTCTGTTTTGATGGAGAATGCAAATGGTGCCATTCCATACTCTGCCATTTCGTTTCAGGCTCGAAATGGTGAAACCAGCTTTAATCACCTGTCGCAATACAGAGCAAAAAATCATTGCCTTCGTGTCGATATCTCTGCAGCAGTTCTGAGGTTATGGCTTTTTGCTGATCTTTGTGGTCTTTGGTCAATAACCACGGGACCCAACGAGCACAAACTTTCCTATAGCCCAAGCTTTCAATCATCTCCTATACTGCACTATGCCCTATTCCAAGTTTTCAGGCTGTTGTGTCCACAGTCACATGCCTGTAATCTTGAATGATCTCATCCACTCCTTCCTTGTTCCGTTCAGTTGAGGCTGTTCGAGGACCGCTTCAAGGCTCATCTTCGATGCTGGTGTTCCCATCTTTAAAATGTTTCACCCATCTTTGAACACTGCTCTCACCCATGCACACACTTCCATAAGCGCGCTGAAGAGTCTGGTGAACTTCTGCAGCAGGGATTTCCTCTTTCACAAGAAATTCGATGACAGCACGCTGGCGAAACAACATATGGTTGTTGGCTATTTTGTTAGGAGTGATACTGGTCAGTGATGCAAGCTATTGACATCACAAGACACTCAAGGTTAACACAACAGCTGGTTCCACCTACCACCATACTCTCTTTCATCTGCTGTTCCCAGGTTGCATGCAAAAAGAAAGTTACTCATGACTTTCGGTACGACCTACGTATGTGCTGTATCTTTGCTCTTTACAGTATTTGTCACACGTCCAATATTTTTTTTTACAGGAACAACAGGTGACAGCTATGTGTTTTCTCATGCCAAGATTTTTTTTATTTTGCACAGATTAATTTGTTGCTGGTAGGAATGAGTTTGGAAATAAAATTCGTGGAAAAGGATTAGGATACCAAATTTATTTTTCACTTTTTCCAAATATTCATTTTAAATGTTCCTGGATGACGGATCCATGTGTTGCAGCACCGCTTCATTCCTGCTCCCCCATCTTCAGACATGATCAAATTTTATTGTTTGTCACTGAACTACCAGGGCAGACTTATGCCACCACAGACAAAATTATTTTATGGAACAATGTCCAACAATGTTTTTTAAATGTTAATTTGTCTGTATATATGAATGATGAGTACTGTGTTTAAAAATGCTTCCAAAATCATGAATCATGTTGGGTATGAATATTAAATGTAGGAAGAATTGATTACTCCCTCATGGAGCCGAGCCCTTCTTTAGGAGCCACCAATTCTGCAGCTACTCAAGAATTTACCAGTATTTTATGGAACCCAAAGGTTCATTACTATGTTCACAAGAGCCCTCCACTGGTCTCTATCCTGAGCCAGATCAATCCAATCTCTACCGTCCCCTCCTATCTCTCTAAGATCCATTTTAATATTGTCCACCCACCTACACCTTGGTCTTCCCAGTGGTCTCTTTCCTTCTGGCTTTCCCACCAATATCCTATATGCATTCCTCGTCTCCCCTATTCGTGCTACATGCCCTGCCCACCTCATCCTCCTTGACGTGATCATTCTAATTATACTTGGAGAAGCGTACAAGTTATGAAGCCCCTCATTATGCAGTTTTCTGCAACCTCCTGTTACTTCATCTCGCTTCAGTCCAAATATTCTCCTCAACACCCTGTTCTCCAACACCCTCAGTCTATGTTCCTCCCTTAATACCAAAAGTATAATGAGAGTATAATCTAGTAACTTCCTAATGATGACATTAGAGTCTGTATCACTAGCTGGTGATGACACTCCCTCATTCCCATAGTATAAAGTGTATGTATATGTTCATATTCTTAAGTACATGTAGAGGAAAGGATCAGAATTTTCATCAACTTGAAACATGGTGTGGTTCAGGTTTCATCTTCAGTATACCCTGCAGCATTTAAACATATTTTTGGCTGTATTAGACTCCAGCTCATGGCATTCCCTACCTCAGAAATTGATTGCTGGCTGGCAGACACTAGAAACCGCTACAATGCATGTGCCACAAGTGGTTGTGTATTTTGGGAATGTTTCTGTTTACTATAAGAATTATGTCAACCATCAGCACACCAAATATACTCAGTTTTAATATTCAGTCTTTATTCCTGCTACATGTTTCAGTCTTACAAGACGATCATCAGGCAGTTTCTGTTTACCGTATATTCCTAAAATTCAGGTTTAAGGAACATCTTTTCATTCCAGTCATCCTCTTGTCAAGTATGTTGTAGGCCTTCTGAATGTCTCCTATTTAATACATATAGTGAAACTAAAAAATTATGATAAATTACATTTCTTGAAGTGCAAATCTTCTTCAGTCATGAGTAACATTTTCAAGTACACTGTAGTTCTGAAGATCATTTGATTTTATTTGTTTGCAGATAATTTCATTCCATTCAATGTTAAATAAACTAATATATGCAAGGGTAGTTTTCATTTTATTTCAGGAGGGTTTTATATAATTGTATTTGCTGAAATTGTTTTATACTTTAGATCTGAAACTGTAAAGGTACACAGATGAACAAAGAAGCAGCCAACATATTTCTTCTTACAGACAAAGGGAAAGTGTTTAAAGTTGAATCAGCTGTGTTTTAGTGTGACATGTTCAGCACAGTGCACCCTTACTTTGCAGGTGTAGTGGACCGCAGCCCAGTGAGTGATTTGGAGTCAGAACAAGGGGGCTCACCTCTTGTTTCTATGCCAGCAATACCTGTTCTACATCTTATCAATGACTCTCAGCTTTTGGAAAAGGTACCTGGAAAATATGATTAGTAATGAATTTTTCAGTTTTACTGTGGCACTTGCACTCCATGCTCATTGTTGGGCACCAACCTCTGCAAAATTTATGTTTATCAGGCACAATTCATGAAGAAGTGATTGTGAAATTTGTGGAAACTGCAGGGAAAGTGACAAAATGGTGAACTGTCTGTTCTTTTGAATCTTCTCTTCCACTGCATGCATAGAATCTTCAGTAAGCACAGACAGTTGGCTATTCCGTGGATCATTATGCACATTTTCTTATCCTTCATTAATGTGTCTCACCCATCTCCATGCCATTGAATCACTCATAGCATATTGTCCATACATATCACAAAGTTGACAATGAATATCAGCTGGTTTCATGTTTTTTTGCATTCAAGAAACAGATTACTAACTTAATTTCACATGCGGTGGCTTCTTGATTTTCTTGAATATTATAAACACACAGGACAGTGCGTAAATGTGATTTGATTGCCTGCACATGGCATCTATGCCTTCCCAAACAACCAGTAAACTCTGCAAGTATGCACACTATCGTGACCACAGTGCTGCAGTGGCAATAGTTGCAAATGGAACTTGTGTGGATATGCCTCGTACTCTATGGGTTGATTTTGGATTTTTTTTTATGTTAAAGCAGGTGGTATGTATGGTAATCACTGTGTTTTGTAGGGGTATTATAAAATTTCAGATTTATTAGATCTGAGTAAACTGCACTTGGATGTATACTGAAGTGTCTACATTGCTTTTGAGTTTTTCTGATCACTGGTTATCTTTGCAGTGAATATTCTGTTAAGTTCTTTCCATGTGTGGTTTATACAGATGTACTACATCCAGTAGCAAATACTTAGAGTAGAAAAGTCCAATTAATTTCTTTCATGTCACTTTTTTTATAATTGCCATTTTCTTGTTGAAAGAATTGTAAATAAAATTGAATGGTGGCCAAGATTTTGAAACTATGCTTCTTCACTTTCCAATTGGAAAAACATCATATGGCTGATAGATATGATACATTAAGCCAGTTCTGAAGGATTCTGATAATGGTGTGTTATGGTTAATATTACTGCATTTTGTACTGACTTGAGTTGTCAAGTCACCATTTCTAACAGACCAAACTGATTTAAGTTCCTCTCCATCCTTTCATCTGAGAATGGAAACAGATTAGTATCTGAAACAGTTCAGAATACTAGATGATGGACAGAGCTAAGAAATTCAGTAATACTAAGTATGATGGGCCCCTTTAATTGTTTGTCAAACATCTTCTAACCTGATGATGTATACTACACATTTTGTGTTTAGTTTGGAGATGTGGATGTGCAGATGGAGTCTGAGAGTGAAGAGTTGCAAAGGCGATCGAGTAGTGGTGGGATTGGGGACAAATATCTTACAGCCAGGAGACATACTGTGGGCCCCGGAGATACAGTCCATGAACAGGTAAATTTTGCTCATTTTAACACTTTTGAATATGTGGGTTCTTAGTATCTGAGTAGCCTAATCCTAGCATACAAATTACATAAAAAGTTCTGTGTTTGTGTATGGAAGCAGGCACATTGTACCATGGTGAGTTCAGAAGCCTTATCTTTCCACATTTACAGTGGTGTGTAGGAAGTAGGAAACGTTTCTTGATATACCATGTGGCTGTGAGTGAAAATTTTCAAAATTTGGAATTTTTACAGAAACAGTTGGAATACTGAAGTAATTTTATTTAAGGGCAAGAATTATTGCATTGTCTTTAAATTGAGACTGTACTTTAAGTGCTTGGCTTTAAGCACAAGCATAGAGTATTATGTTACCTGAAGAAAAGTAGTCATGAAGAATGCTGTCTTCTGGGATGAGGCATCATGTAGATCAGTGGTTCTCAGCCTCTGTGAGACTGCGGCCCAGTAAATTCTTTTTTCTATAAGACGAGAACCCGGTATAACTGATGCTAGGGCCCGGTACTGGGCCGTGGTCCAGCAGTTGAGAAGCACTGATGTAGATCTTGTGTACCCTGAAGATGGAGTTGATACGTCCTCAGAAATGCTGGTTCACACAAGATCTACATGGCACCACGTCCGAGAAGACGGCATTCTTCATTGTTCTAAATAGTTCTCTGGTGGTATATATAGTCTCCATATGGTCTGATTGGGACTTGCAACAGTTTACAGAACTCTACTTTTCATTGACTGGAGAAACAGGGGAGTTGAGTAAATTTATGTATCGTTTTAATCAGTTGCAGTGTTACAGAGTTTGAGAATTGTTGGTGTAGATTAGATAGAATATAAATATGTGGATGGGTGGGGGGAGAAACTGGTTTCTTTGATAATGCAGTCATTCACGATAAGATTTAGAGTTTAAGGAGAGTTGCATGAAAATTTTCAATGAACTTGTGACACTTACTTAAATTTAGGTTCTGGAGGCCCACTACATCAAACTGGATGGAATTGGTCAACCCTTGGACATCCTGCCAAATACAAATCTGCCATTGAACCTGCCACTTGTTCAGCACCAGCCTCCGCAGAACTTCTCAGTTAAGGATCAGCATCTTCTGAAACCACCACCTGTCATGGGTGCAAGTAAGTTGACATACCTTTCTGTTTCTTGATACATTGTGTTCAGATTGTGTTTCATTTATTAGAGTTAGAATTTGAATTTTCTTGGGCCAAGAAATGAGAGCCTGAAACTATACAGACTTGTGATGATCGGATATACAGTGGAATATTATGGCCTATAGACCCGTTCATAGGCAATGACTGCATATTAAGCAACTGTACAACAGCTGTTGCTAAATACTGGTTCTGAAAACATTGGCCATTTGTAGGAAATGGCTGAAGAACAATCTCATGGCACCCCCAACAAACACAAATGCATCAGAGGAACAATTTCTTCTGTGCAGTGCATGCAGGATGTTGTAAAGTCAGTCAGTCAGTTGGAGAACTGCTGGGATTCAGTTGTTGTGAGCTGTTGGACAAATTTGTTATAGTTTCTGGTTTCTGACCTTCACATATTTTTCTCTCTTTCTGCCTGACAGCACAGTGTGGCATATATGTTAGAATGTGATATATCTTACAAATATCAAATAGCTTGTCATGGAAGCATCATATTGATGGACTTATAGTTAAATTAAGCAAAGCATGTTATGCTATTAGATCTTTAAGACCCTTTGTGTCCCATGAATCACTAAGGATGATTTACTTTTCGTATTTTCATGCAGTTATGTCATATGGTATAATCTTCTGGGGGAATTCACCTTATAGTATCAATATATTTAAACTACAAAAAAAGGCCATAGGAATTATTACAAATTCCAGAAATAGGGATTCCTGTAGGGAGTTCTTTAAGAAAGTAGCTATATTACCGTTTTATTCTCAGTATACATTTTCATTACTAATTTTTGTAATTGATAATATTTCCTTTTTTAAAACAAATTCAGAGTTATATGATATCAACACCAGAGGTAAAAATAATTTTTACCCTTCACAACCAAGGTTGTCTGTCTATAAAAATGGTGTTTATTATATGGGTATAAAGGCATTTAGTCACTTACCTCCTTGCATAAAAAAATTGACTGATAAGAATCAATTTAAAAATACTCTAAAAAATTATATTATATTGAATTCTTTTTATTCGCTGAATGATTTTTTTAATAATAATTACTAATTTTAATGTGAATTTTTGAGCTTTTATGTATCATAGGTGACTTATTTTGGCATAAATATGTTATCATCTACCTTATGATGATTTTTTACAATATTAAATTTAAGATGTTGTTATGTTTAATGTTAATGTAAGAAGATAAACATTTTGGTTTATTGTTTGATTTGACCTATGCTTTTTTTCATAGCATGTGTATTTTAGTTCCTTGTCTGTGACTGGTTCTATATCCGCCAGGCGTACTTGTAGCCCAAACTGGATCGATGGAATTTTTCAATAAACTAAACTAAACTAAGCCCAAAAAAATGAACCCTTCTTTTTTGAACTCTGATAATAGTGCAAAAATCTTTCCTTCCCTTCGCGTAAATGTGGTATACGAGGGGGTACCCAAAAGAAACCGAACTTATTTTTTTAAACTTATTTATTCAAATTTTAAGCACAAACCTTCAATCCCCTTCAAAGTACTCTCCACTTACACTAATACACTTGTCTAGTCTTTTATTCCATTTTTCAAAACATTGTCTANTTTTTCAACATTTTCATGTGTTCGGGCCATTGCAAAAACGATGATCACACAAAACAGTTGTCACTATAAACTCTGCCGAAACTAGTCCTTACCTTCTGAAGCAACGGTAGTCGGCTTATCGACTCAGGAATGTTAGCTCTATGTGCTCATAGCGGCAAAACGTGGTACTACAAAAGCTCTGCCCACAAAAAAATTAGTTCGGTTTCTTTTGGGTACCCCATCGTATTAACAGCTGGAAAATTTTAAATTTTTTGGCTTTTATTTAGATTTCATTTTAGTTTTTATTTCATGGGCTGTAATTTATTTAATCTCTTCATAGATATTTACACAGTTTTATCTTTCAGTTGGAGGATTTGGAAGACGAGCTTCAGATGGTGGGGCAAACCTTCAGATGTTCTTTAGTAGACAGCTAGAAGGTGTCTGGAGTCAACCTGGAAGTCAGGAGCAGTTACAAATGGTATATCATCTTCAGAATTTTCTAAATAATGTGGCTGAAAATGAGAGTATAAATGGAGGTGTAGAAATTACTCTGCATTGTGAGGTTGATTTTGCTACTCTTTCATGTTCTGGCAGTTCACATTAATTGTTAGAATGACAATAATTGTTAAGGTGCTTAAACTTGGCTCCTGCACTTCAAGACGATACACAATGAAACACAACCAGAGACACTCACTGCACTACTTCAACTGATCTTCTGCTATCAGCTACAGACAGCGCTAGTGCCACCTGATGCACATATTTCATGTTACAGCAGTGTTGCCACTACACTTTTTATCCAGCCCTTGTATTTCATTTTTATATTTTTCTTTTATCTTATTTTGTATTTTCTGTTTTAATTGTAATACCAAATTGAGGCAAAAAAAAAAATGTATCTGTTAGTATATAATATGACACGTTGCACTGGTAAGGATCCATATTGGTAGTTCAGTGACTAAACATATTCCTGTATATAACTGCCTGATGATGGTCTTGTACGACCAAAACGTGTAGCAGGAATAAAAAGTTGAATTGTAAAACATTAAAAACGAGTATATTTGTTGTGTTGATTGTTAACGTAATGCTTATAAATACTGTCTTTTTTACATCAATAAACCGTCCGTTCTGATTGAATTTAATGCATAAATGGATACATATGATAGGAGTGACAAAATCTGTTTCCTTCTTGTCAAAGTGCATGTGCCATAAAATCTGCCATTTAGTATGTCTTAGTAATATTTAACACTGTATCAGTAGCTCCAGCCTGGCAGCCCTACTTTGTCACAGAGGTCTCAGCCAATCCCAGCAGTCATCTCAGAGAATGGTGTAGAAGCAGCATCACATCAGCCACCAACTGAAAATACAGGACCTACTCTAGGAGAGGATCTGCCTGATCCATATGCAGTTGCAAGGTGAGCATCAAAAGTAGGCTTAGTACCAGTGCACAATTTAGGATATTCTTGCAGAATGTTTCTTGACATGAACTTGGTAGTATTTATGATTTTTCAGAACAAAAGACATACATATGAATTCCTTTGCATCATCAAAGGAGTATGAGCATGATGCGTGAAATAAATGGAACTCAAGAAGGAATTTTTCACACTTCGTCTGACATCATTTTTGTTTCATACAGGCCGATGGACATAAAGTCTCCAGTCTGATCTGTCTTCTCACAGTCATTCCTTTTCAATTTCTTGGCGGCCTTTTCTGCTGTTCTTAATGTTTTCCATTATCTGGAAGAACTACTTTATTCTTGGTTGTCCCATTGTAGTTTCTCCTCTTATTTGAGGAATAATTTGCTGTGATAAGATGGTGATTGTGGTGCAGCATAGAGAGAGTTTCTTTTTACTGTAGAGTCGAGGATGTCACAAGGCCTGCATGCTTACCGGCAGTTAGAAGAAACTGGGAGAAGTGGTGAAAATCTGAATAACAAACAAAAACAGAATCATGTTTACAAATGTACTTAATTGGAAGCAATATATTGATGGTCATATATGATATTTCTGTTTTGGGTGTCACCAATTTACGAACAGATGTTATCTGCATATGTATACCACATCTAGGACAGCACAGAAATGCTGGCACATTGGAAACTAAGAATTTTCACTTTCAGAAAAATGTGAATAGTAGAAGGAACAAAATATTCTTTGAATTTGATACATATGCAGTATGGATAAAGTATATTTTGAACTGGATAGGTAGGCAGTATGGACACAGTGTATTTTTACTCTGTCATGTTATGTTCCTAGTCTTGTTTTCAACTGCTTGCTGTGTTTGTCTGGTCCTTATTCTTGTAATGTTTATTTGTTTCTATCTCATGTTCAGTTCTTCTGTTACCTCGAATATTGGGTTATATGTGTTGATATATGTGTCATTCATGTGTTTTAATAAATTGGTGCACATAAGACTGTAGAACTAAAAACACTAAATAAAAATTATAAAATATCTGTGTATCACAGTCCATCAGTAATGCAACACTTATTAAAATATTTACTATTTAACACTTAACACAACATATTTTGGCCATAGATGGCCATCTTCAGGTGTTTCAGTGCGTCCAGACTCCTACGCTACTATGATGCGCTCTAAAATCTTGCACTGCAGTCCACTTAAAATAACATGAATAATTACTAAAATACATTACAATTTTTTCTATTAACGTCTTTTGTATAATCCTATTCCACCTCATAAGGGGCGTCGTCCACTTGTTTAAAGACAGTTACAGCCACTTGATTACTTTGTTTTGAAACCCTTTAAAACAGTATGTGGAAGGTAAAATCAAATGGGCAGATTTGAAGTTCTCACAGTGTTGAATATTATGATTATATTCTCCTGGGATTTGGTACTGTGTGTTCTCGTAGGTAGGTACGAGGATTTTGGAGAAACCTGCAGCTTCCATCTTCATTGTGGGAAAGGGCTGTAGCTATATGATATTACAGCTCAGAAGACTGTAATCTTAATGTTCATATGTATGGTTTCACAGGTATATGCATGGTCGTGGAAATTCAAAACGACACACGCTAGCACTGGGCAGTGCAGAGGAAGTGCAAGAGGTCCAGCGTCTAATGCAACAGCAGCAGCCACAGCAGCAGCAGCAGCAACAGCCAATGAGAACAAGACGTACAGGCTTACACACTGTGATGGAGAGACCTCCAGGTAACCGCCTTTGTTTGAGTGCTGTATATAAGCTTCATTGTTTCTGTGGTTTTTGTTGTCAGTGTCATTATTATCATCTTGTATTTTGTTTCTTGTATTATTCCATCCAGTCCTGACATGCAACAGCTTGATGCAGGTCAGTACAGTAGGATGTGTTCAATTAGTGTGTTTATAATCAAAAGTGTCTTTATGTTGTAATATTTGGAACTGTGCATTACTGTTTCGTATAGTAATACATGTACTATCATATCTGTATATCTCACATGTTTAGAAATTCTCTACAGATTTAATTTCACTTGATATTTATGTATTTCTAAAACATAACAATCACACATTCTTTTGCAAAGATGACCCTCCTATGGAGGCAGATGTTAACAGATTATACTGCTGAAGTATGCATCAATATTGTTATGTCTCTGCTGCTTATTTTGATGCCCACAATGACTGAGGCTATTGAATCTTGGTATTGTCTCAGGAAATACAGTCAACTACTTTCTGTAATGACACTTGAATGCATGGATCATTCACAAATCTAAAGGCTGCAGCCAGCTATTTGGAATGAGTAGTATGCCGGTATTTTGTCAGACTTGTTTAGGTAACCTTTTTTTGTCAGGAATCACTGTGCTCGCAACCATTGTCTTACATGCCCACAGATGACTGAGAGTTTTGACTGTGAAATCATCACTCCATATATATGGATGTGCCTCTTGTTATTTCTTTTGATGATACCGTCCTGTTGATAACTGCCAATGAAGTGCCAGTACTGTGTGTGCATCATATATCTAGATGTTCTGCATGTAGCTACTATTTTTTTCACACCGCTCTAAAATCTTGGTTCCTTAATGCACAAATTACCTTGTTGAGAGAGTGTTTTTCCTCAGACACATATATGTATTGAAAATTTGTGGTCAGGCTGTCTGATACCGGCCAAATTTTAAATCGAGGCTCATAGCCTGGTTGTTCCTGCCATGAGACACACCAACTGCTGTTGCTGTTACTGAAAGTGTTCTGAGAAATTCTGTAGCAGGAATTTCAGTAAATTTTCTAAATTTTAAGTGGTTATAATTTCTGTTTAATGCCTGTTGCTTAAGATGTTTTGGCTACAAAAAAATAATTCAAACTTGCACTAGGTTGTTGAATATCCATGTTGCTTGGACAGAGCAATTACTGCTCTGATTCATGTTAGCTGATCTGGTGTCTCAGAGTTCATAAACATTTTATTTTATAACTTGAAATAGGCCATTCTTTCTGTCTTGGTCTTTACCATAACATTAACACAGTGAAAACAGTGCCTTGCTTACAAATGAAAATGAAACACACATGGTTCATGGAGAAGTTAGTTCAAAGCCAATTTCAAGATGCCAGGCTCTTTTTTATTATGAGCCAGACTTTGCTGGCAGGTAAAGGTAAAGTTGACCATGTGCTTAACTAATTAAGCACTATGCCATGAAGACGTATGGGGGAGTGGATGTATACACCCACATTTTCTTGACCTCAGCACTAGCTGGAGGAGAGTCTTTGCTAGCATCTGCTGAAACTAAAATCTTGGAGCCACTGCCCGGTTAAAAGTTTATATCGACAATGCAGGTAGTTGTTTGCTACAAATTTCTTAATATCCAGTTAATACTGTTAGTGCTACCATGCTTTGGCAAACAAGGTGGTAAGTGGGTGGTAAGTGTTAAAATATGCAAAACAATAATTGTACATGTTCTTATAAATGGATATGGAATTTGGTCTCTTCTGCTATGTGGATAACAGACCAATTGTATTTGAGTACTTGGTGGTGAGCAGAATATTTGGACTGAAGAGGCAGGAAATGACAGAAGACTGGAGAAAATGGCATAATGAGGTGCATCATATTTTGTATGCTTCAACAAATGTTATTCCAGGGATCATATCAATAAGAATGAGCTGGTTGGAATGTCAGGGAGGTCAGAAATGCGTACAAAAGTTTATTTGATGACCTTACCACTCAGTAGGCTTAGGTAGTATTTTCAATATTAAGAAGTAGGTTGGGATAGGTTAGAATCCAGTGTCAGGTTTTGTGAACAAAGTAGTGAACATTTACAGTGTGTAGATTGTTGGAAATTTCTTCCCAAGCAGAGCAACTGTTGAGCTTCACAGATTTAATTACATTCTGTTGTCTTAAGCATTAACTAATAGAGAATTGTTGTAATGAAGTAGTGTATCAGAAATTGTGAAATATCCTTAACATCATTTCTGGTAAGTATTAGTAGGCAACTGCCAAAATATTTCCTGGCTCCCATACATTCTGTTACACGCACTTACATTTGTTATGCTTGCAGTATGCTGATTTACGTAGTCACATATGTAACTGCTGATTTGATAATGTAATTTTGTTTGCAAGGACCTCTTTTAATGAGTTTTTTTAATATTCTTTGTTATATGTTTGCTGCAATTATAGCTAAATATGGCATCATGAAATCTGCCAAGTATGAGTTTGCTTTTTAAAAAATGTTAGTAACTTTTCCTTCTTATTCCTTCCCAGTTCACAGTTTTTGTTATCTCAACTGTAATCTTGTCTTCTGGGATGTGATTCCTTATAGTCTGGTTGATAAGCATCAGTGATTTAGAGGAACCTGGTGCCTCTATCCTCTGGGTAGAAGATTGAGTCAGCAGTTTCCTCCGAAACATTGGTATCTATCTACCAGACTTCACAGCATCACATCATAGAAGATAGTATCTTTTGTATTGCCTAAAGGGAGAAATCTCAGATGTCAAGTCATCCCCTTCCTTATGCATCAGAATAATATGATTTGTAGGACTGGATAATAAAGAATTATTTTCAATTTGATGATATCCATGCACTTATTATTTGTTTTGTTGTGTGTTTTAATTTTGCCTTGATTATGTGTTGATTATCTTATTTTTTTTCGGCACCCTGCTACCTGGTTGTTTTGGGCTCCCTCGGTTTTTGGTTGTTGTTGGTTGGTTGTTTACGTTGTGTGACACACACTGCATGATGCTGCTGCCTGGCAGTGATTAGCCCTGAACTTGTGATGGAAGTGGAGGCTCGGATGAACCGCCAGTATACACCTCTGAACCTGCACCCAACAGGCACGACTGTGCCTCGCAGTAAAGCTTATCCCAGGCCCAAGAAACCCACAGGTCTACCCACAGTTCAGGAGAACAATAGCAGAGGTAAGTTCCCTCTGGACACTGCATGGAGTGATTTGCTGGTGGCAGGTGGATTAACATTAAGATATTGGTTTTGTCATTTCAACCCTTTAACTCCAAATGATTGTATTAGAAACAATCCTTTGTCCTGAGTCTGCCAAATTATCACTTCACTGTCACTTGCACATGCCAGTAGTGAGCAGCCCATTTCAGTAACTTCCAGCACAACCCATGCAAAACAAATTGTGGTGTTGTAAGATACAGTTAGTACAAAATTCTTTATTTGGATCGGTTGCAACACAACAACAAAATGGTCTAGGTCAATATCACCTTAGCTACATGTTTTGGCTTTTAAAGCCATTATGAGGCAAATACATGGTTACTGCACTCACACACTATTGAACTGCATTTCAGTGTGATGGTACAGTGGAGCTGGAATGTGTGTGTGAATGTAGTAACCATGTATTTGCCTGATGATGGCTTTAAAAGCCGAAACATATAGCTAAGGTGATATTGACCTAGACTGTTTTGTTGTTCTGTTGTAACTGATCCATATAAATAATTTGTATAACAAACACAACAGGATGCACCTAATGCAAATTACAGTTAGTACACTTCCTTAAGGTTTTGTTGTTGTGCCTCCTGACACACATTTTCTAAGAACACTACTACTACTATTAGAACTGTTTGTCACATGTTATGAATCTGCAGCAGGAGGATCTCATGAGATAGTGTCCCTCATTGATTTAGTTCAGTTTCATTGTTATGTTATTTCTGTATTGCTGTGGCCACCAACCATGTAGAGGAAATGTCACCTATCATGCAAATGAAGTTCAGTGAATCATGTAAGTTATCGGTGACTATTTGTATCCCTAAAGTAAGTGGTTAGTGTTGTATTCTACTCATACTCTCTTTTGAGCTTTTAGACAGCATGTGCTCTTGACAGGCCTGTATATGTCAGTATTGACAAGTGAGGAGAATCTGACATGACAGAAGAAGTACTTGGGACATAATCTTAATTTCATGCATCCTGCTGTGCTACAATATACAACTGTGCAATGAACCGTCACAACACAGCAAATAGTAAACATCAAAGTCAGCGTTCAGCTGTGGCGGCTTTGCTACATGTTTCAGCCACTAACGGCCATAATCAGGCAAATACATATCAACAAAAACTACCATTTAACTGCAATCATAAAATGGATATAACACTATTAATCGTACAAATTTAAAAATGCTTTATGTAAAAATACAAAAGTTCAGATTATATAAAAATTAAAAATTGGAACTGTTATATAACAAGATAAATATTCACGATGTTTTCAAAACATCAGATCAGTCGTTGGATTTACTTTGTGTGCGTTTCCATAGACAATTTGGAAATTCGATATTACTTTATATAGAAGATTTTAAGAGAGGCCCATGGTCATGTGTTTGCCTGATGATGGCTATCAATAGCCGAAACATGTAACAGGGCCAAAAATGGTCTGATCTTGGTATTAGTTGTGTTGTGACGGATATAATAAAAAGGTTGTATATTGTAACACAACAGGATGCATAAAATGAAAATTCTCATTGTGTAATGTGTCATACTCAAGAGTTGTGACACACTAAACCATTTCAGACAAATCATACACCTACTATTAAATGTGCCACATGGATTTATTATGGACCCCTATAGTAATTCTATGTAATATATTGGATATTTTATGAGGTGTCATCTGGTGTTTGTACTGCCAGACAGTAACCTGCATATGCAAAAGGAATGGTAGTGTGCCACAACTACAGATATGGATTTATGCTCTTTTATTCCCAGTTATTTGACTACAAGTCACTGGCTTCCCACCGCGGCTGCCCTGGTTCGATCCTGGGTCTGGTCAAGTGGGATTTGTGGTGGACAAAGTGGCAGTGGGGCAGGTTTTCTCGGTTTCCCCTGCCAATCTTCATTCCACCAATTGCTCCACAATCACTCTCACCTATCATCTGGGGCTGGTACAATAGGCCTGAAGTGGCCGCAGTACAAGGGACTTAGTCCCACCCCACTAGCATTAAAAAATTATTCAACCACAAAATACTATCTTGTACTGACCACATTGATAGAAAATTTTACTATATTTTGAATTGAGAACTTATTTTGTTTTATACAATATGAACAGGGACATGCGTTTTCATATTTTAGTTGCATGATTTATGCTCTTTGATGGGGTTTATGGTTCATAACTTTAGACCAAATACATAGGAAGTTACAGTTTTTTCAGCATTCATGTAATTGGGAAAAAGTCTGGTAGCTTCACAATCTTGTAACAATTCTGCATTTTTCCCACACACATACACGTGTTTTTGATGTTGTCATCAGAATAAGCAATGTTTATTTGCCTAATAGCATTAAGTGATTGTGATTGTAACAGATGCAGTGTGCTTTCTGTGAACGGTCATTTACTTATGAAGAAAATGCAGACATGGAAGGAGTAGTCTGTCTACTGTTAGATTGAGTCTCCTGTTATTTTTATGGTGTTGGATGCAGTGTGATTTTTGTGAGCTTGTACAAGGGTGATTGCTTCTCATAATATTGAGAGTTGGGGCTTGGGTTAATGTTGCCAACAGTTCCTTTTAAACCTTACCCATCCTCTCCATCACCACTTGTACATTGTTCTTCCTACCAAATTTTTGCTTTTGGGGATCATTCCCCTTCCATTTAGGGCAGTATGTTTCCTCTTAATTTCACATGACTAAATGACTGAATCTCTTTGGCTTAAAACTGTCTTGTGATTTGCTGAATGATGCGATAAGGTTTATATCACTCTTACTTCAGATCTGAGAATTCCCAGCTGTGAAATCTTTTTTGTGGATCATGCCTCTGTGCTGAGTTTCATATGTGTGCTGGGCTTGAGTCTTAAAATATTGTATGGTCATTTCTTTTCCAATTCATCATTCCCTAATCATCACATAATTTGACTTTATATCAAGTGTTCTGTGACATATTTGCCAAACTTCAGGGGCATGTTCATTTAGAGGAAGAATTCTGGAAAATTGTAGGTTGATTTAGTGCCACTATCAAGTTAAGCTTAGTCTAGCACTGAATAAAAAAGGTTCTTTCAGCTCACCTTTATTATCATCATTTTAAAGGATTACAGCTCTTAAGTTTCAAGGTTATTACAGCAATTTTGAAATGTCCACCATTAGATGGCGTGCATGCTGCCAGCTGATGTGCCATTGAATGCTGCCACTGCATGTGTTCCTGTTCACTTGTGATAGCAGTAGGAGCTTCAACTTTGTTGTATACAGATTGCTGCGTTACTTCCAGTTTACCACCATGCTACAGTTTTGACTTCATGCAACCCCACAAAGAAATATAATGGGTCTAAGTCTGGAGACTGAGTGGGTCATGCCTCTGGTCCACCTCTTCCTATACCTCTTCCTCCATAACCTTCATTAAAAAAATTCCATTACTACTCTGCTGAAATGTGGAGGTGCTCCATCATGTTGTAGCTGCATTTGTCTCCATATTGAGAGAGGAACATTCTCTAAACACAGTGGAAATTCATTGTTCAGAACATTCCTGTATTACAGACCTGTTAAACATCCCTTGATAACATCATCCAATTAGTTATTGCTTAATACTCCACACCACATGTTAAGTGAAAATTAGTGCTGAAAATTACATTCTGCTATCATGTGGATGTTCATTTGCCCAAGAATGCAAATTCCTTGTGTAGGTAATACTATCCTGGGTAAATTGAGCCTCATCTGTGAACAGACTGTCATGCCAAATGTGTAGCCATGATTGGAGCCATTCATAAAATCATACACAGTTGATATGATTTCCCCGTAAGAGGTGTTATTCTCAGAGGTGATATGGATGGAAAACATTGTGGAGCAAAATTGTCTATACCTGTGTCTCTGCTGCACCAGTCATCCTGGTACTTGTTTGTATACTTGTACTTGGGGTTTGCTGTGGCAGTGCCAGAACATAATTTTTTTCATGCCATCATTATTCCATGTTCTGCATTCACTTGTGCACAGGAACGAGTCTCCCTCAAAGTTCTGTGTACGTTCTCAAATGTTTTGTGAATTGGATATCGCTTCCAGTTTTCCTCTACAGCAGGTCCACGATTTCAATTGCAGAAGCTGTATATAAAATTTACTTAGTTGTATTTTTCATTTGTAAAAATGTTGGCATTTTGACTGTGACCACACTGCAAGACAACACACTCACACTAGCTTAGACAGTGTAGAAGCAGGAACTCGGCCAAGTTCCAGCACTTCCAGCTCACTCCAGTAGTGTTTATCAGATTGGCCTGTTGTTCTTTGTTGCTTCAAATGACTTCAAGAACATGATCCTGAAGTTTGGCCAGTATGTTGCAGAACATCTGGCATAAACCAAGCAGTTCAAGAAGCTGTATTAAATGAATCAGTCTCATATAATAAATCAGTTTTACTTGCACTGATCTGTTATTGATTGTATTTTCAGCTTATGTATAAATACAACAGTTGTATATCAGTGTGGACATGCTTTTAATTTTTCCTGGTACTGTTATTTCACAGTAAAAACATTGTATGAGTTATGATGTTCTTGTGATGGTGAGTATTAATATTAAGCTTGTTGAATCATAAATTGTGGAAAACATTAAATGGGTTTTATGAGAAACTGAACTATAATAACTTATGTAGTGTGAATAAAAAAAGACTCTCCCATTTAAACTGTGTATATTTACTTAAGTGCTCAGTGTAGATAAATTGTTTCGTTGTTAATTTTGCTCCATAGGCTTTGGAGGTAACTTCCTGTATTATTTTTTTTTATAAAATGGCATACATTCTAGAACAACACGTGTTTATGATAACATTACTGGAGGCACTGCTACATTACACTGTTTCAGCAGTTCGAATTATTGGACAAGTTTTCCTCACTGATATAGTAACATCTGATCAGTATTGTGACGTTCATGCAGAAGACTTCATCCTCAGTCTCCAAGGCACAGCTGTTTGGCTTCAGGAAACATTTTTCTAATAGAATGGCGCTTAAT